CCTCCTTTATTTTTTCCAAAATTTTTTCTTTCTTTACATTTTGGGCCCTCTTCTTAACTGAATTCTGTTGAATCAGGAAGCCCCTCATAACAGCTTTACTTGCGTCCCAGATTATTCTTTTTTCTACAGCTGTATTCAAATTTATCTCAAAGTAGTCTCTCAATGTCTTTTGGGCCTTCTTAATCACCTCTTGATCTCTAAACAAGGTGTCATTCATCCTCCATCGGAAGGAACCAGTAGATGTTAACTTCATCTCCATTCTCACGGCGTTATGGTCGGAGCATGTTTTTGGACAGATCTCTACCTTCCTAACCTTAGGTGCCAGTCCTCTAGTAGTCCAAATTTGGTCAATTCTTGTCCATGTCTTTTGGGCTTCAGAAAAAAAGGTTCCTTCTCTATCAAGGGGATTCCTAGTTCTCCAAATGTCAATCAGATCCATATTGTCAGTTAATTCAAAGAATGTTTTCGGTAGTCTGCCATCTTTAGTGACTACCTCTCTTTGTGACTTGTCCATATTTGTGGAAACCACCCCATTCATATCTCCCATAAAAACAGTGTTATAGTCCATATAGTCCATCAAGATCTCATGCAACTTTTTGTAAAATATAGATTCCCCTCATTTGGTGCATATACGCCTACTATCAAAAGTTTTTCTCCTTGTACTTGAATTTCAATTGCTATGAATCTTCCTTGTTCATCCTTAAAGACGAATTTTGGTGAGAGGCTCTCCTTTGCGTAAATGACCACTCCTCGTTTTTTTAACTTTATCTGATGAAATAAATTCTTGACCCAATCTCTTATTAATCAATATTTTCCTGTGGAGCCTCGTCACATGAGTTTCCTGTAAGCAAATTAAATCAAATTGATCTTTATAAAGTATATGAAATACTTTAATCCTATCCGGAGAATTTAGGCCACAAACATTCCAAGTTAAAAGTTGCAGAGCCATGATGATTTCTTTATTTTCCTCCAACTGCTCCCAATAACTCTTCTTCCTCTGTTGGTGGTTTCGCCTTCTCTGTCTTATCCTCTCCCGACGGTGGTAGTGTAGGATCCAATCCTGGTAAAGGGGCTTCTGGCTCCTCCCCCAATCCTTTTTGTAGGTCCTCTTGATGGTCTCTCAAAAAGTTCTGTTTCTCCTCCACAGATTTTATTTTTATTTTCTTGCCTTTAAAACTGAAAGATAGGCCTTGAGGAAATTCCCACCTGAAAAAAATTCTGTTTCCTCTCAGCAGCGTCACCAGGTCCCGGTAGTTGGACCTGAGCTCCAAAAGGTACTTTGGAATGTCTTTAAATATTTCTATCCTTGAGTCTTGTATTATCAGTGTATTTCGGTAGTGTGAACTCAAAATTTTATCTCGTTCCTCCTTAGATCGCAAGGTAATCAGGCAGTCTCTCACTCTGTTCTTTCTTGCTCCTCTTCCAAGCCTGAAAGCAGACGTTATCTTGAAATCTTCCTTATCTTTCAATTGCCAAAAATTGGCAAATTCTTGTGTCAAAAAGTCTACCAGGCTCTCTTTCTCAATCTCAGGTACTGCTCTGATCCTTAAATTGGTCTGTTTCTCCTTTAACTCAAGGACAGATAGCAATTCCTGGTGCGTTCCCAATCTTATGTGATGCTCTTCAACTTGTTTAATTAAAGGTGGTAATTTTTCTTCAACAGCTACCGCCTTTTCTCTAGCTTCCAAAGCTGTTTTTTGGGTTTCAGCGGATTGTTCCAATAATTTTTTAATCACATCTGTATTTTCATTAGTCTGTCGAGTCAGCTTATCAATACTTGCAGAGTTTTGTCTAATAGCTTCTAATGCCTCGGCGTTCTGTTGACCCAATTTTTCAAAACCTTCATTCACAATTTTAAATAAGCTGGCAAGTCCTTCTTCCCCTTTGTTTGCGTTGGATCATCTCCTTGTGGCCCAGCGATGGATGGCCTACGCTGTTGCTGTTGAGCAATGTTGCTCTGTTGCCTGCCTTTCCCGGACCTCAAGTTTCTTTCATCCATGGCACTTTATCTAGAAATCAAGGTCACTCTCACGGTTGGAGTTGTTTTGCTGTTAAGCTTTCCCAGGCTGCTGTTAAGTGGAAAATTCCTCGATCAATTAGAAACTTTTTCCCCTTTGGCCTCCAGGGGGACACAAGTAATAAAGTATCAAGAATAAAAACTCTCAAAAAACTTTTTTTTAAAAACCCCTTCAGCCAAAGAGGCAACTTTTTTCCAAAGTTTCAATTTTGTGAAGTTAATAGGCAAGAAGATACATTGTCCATTTAGAGTGCTAACAAAATATCCAATCTTTCCAAACCTGGCAGTCTGTCACCAGGGATTGAGAGGTGGTCTTCGTTTCCTTATTACTCTTTAATTTACACAAAAATAACAAGAAATACTGTCTCTTCTTCCCCCCCTTCTCCAATTATGGGAGGGAAAGTTTTTAAATTTGACGTCTGTGTTTCAGTCCCTTTTGACAGTCTTTGGTATCGAACTCACACAGTCTTTGCTTTGATCCTTTATACAAACCGGGAGGTGGACTTCCTTTTTACACCTTCCCGCTTCAGCCAAATTTGTTCAAAAATTTTAGTTGGTCCTTCTATAACGTCAAACCTACTCACGGGTTGTAGTTTTGACAGCCGAATTGTCAAGGAAGAAAGGTCAGCGCTCTCCAGCAACAGCCGCACGGCTTCACTCCGCGAAAGTAGCAGAAGACTCACAGTGCCGCGCCACCCCGTCCTGCTCGGAGCCCCTCGCGGGGTTCCTTTGCCGTTTAGGGGCGCGCTCCAGGCACCCGCCGAGTCCCACGACCGCAGGCTTCCTCCGCCTGCGGGTTTCAAAAGGGTCTCCGCTGCGCCGTAGCGGATCGACCCGATTTTCGCGGAGCCTCTCCTCCGAGATTAGGAGGAGATCGCCATTGCTTGTTGGCGCCGCCTCCGGAAGTCCGTAACTGAGGGAAATTATTGACAAAAAGAAAAACAAATAGCTGTGGAACGCCCTCCCATCGGATGTCCAAGAGAACAACTACTACCAGACTTTGAGAAGACATCTGAAGACAGCCCTGTTTAGGGAAGCTTTTAATGTTTGATGGATTACTGCATTTTAATGTTTTGTTGGAAGCCACCCAGAGTGGCTGGGGAGGCCCAGCCAGATGGGCGGGGTATAAATAATAAATTATTGTTATTACAAGAAATATGTAGAATAGCTAAGCAAGTATTAGAAACCACCCCAGAACTGGCCCTACTAAACATATTCCAAGACAATGATGCCCACTCACATCACAAAAGAACTCATAACCCGGCTACTCTCAGCAGCCAGAAACATCATAGCGAAACACTGGAGAGACCTGTCAGGAGTAAGCATGGACCAATGGTACCAAATAGGATGGGAAACAGCCCTACTAGAAAAATTAACCAATAAACTGAAACTGACACAGGGACAAATAGAAGAAGATGCCTTCACCCCGGTATGGCTCCCCTTTATCACATGCACAGCCCAACAAGACAATGACAATAACTCGCCTGTGGCCTTCGTACAGAGACCCCGGTCGTTTCATGGACTATTGACCTGTACACCACTACTTTATCCTTCCGCTTAACACCAATTTTGCGGAAGAAACCCCAGGGTTCCCCGGTGAAGAATTGAGTCTCAGTCAGGTAGAGTTAACAATGAAAATTAAAGTTTATTTCAAACACAATCAAGTTTTAAAATATATTCCAAACGCTGTCACTCTATTCCCTCTCAGTCTTGTCCCTGTCTCTAACTCACTCTGAGTCCTCTATCTCACCCCCCCAAAAAAAGAACCAACCGAACTAACGGACAAAAACGGCTTTCTTACTGGTCAACCTGTTAACCCTTTCTCTCCCCCAATACAAACGTATCCCCCAAAATTGGGCAAATGCCACACCGCCAACAGCATGCAAATTAATATGGCTTAACCCGATTCAAAAACACCTCCTCCCCACATGAAAACACAGTTCACCACAGCCAACCCCAAACAAGCAACCGCACCCTAGGCCAGGGGTCTGCAACCTTTAAGACAAAAAGAGCCACTTGGACCCGTTTCCGAAGGGAAAAAAACTGGGAGCCGCAAAACCACTGCGACATTTAAAACAAATATATCTCCGGAGCCGCGATCTGACAGCGGGCGGGAAGGTGATGTCGGGACGGTGCGTGACTAACGCACGCACCGCCCCCATGCGACGTCACAGGCAGTACAGCGCCCGCCACAGTGGGGAGTGTCGGGGCGCACAGTGCGCCTCCTCCCCTCGCTAGTATCTGCCCCGGAGCCGCGGCAAAGGTGTAAAAGAGCCACATGTGGCTCCGGAGCCGCAGGTTGCAGACCCCTGCCCTAGGCCAACCCCAATTTCTCTCACCACCAAAGGAAAGCAAGCGCTGACACAAAACCCCACACATACATTAAGCAAAATAGAAACCTCTCCTCCCGACCCCCCCCACGGCCCCCTCCACTTCTTCCCTCCTTTTCTCCCTAATGTAACCCCAATGTCTCAACAAATGAACCTGACCTATGGAAAATGTAACTTGAAAAAAGAGAGATTGTGCATACCTTTGTAAACCAAGAAAACTTTAATAAAAATACAGTGGTACCTCAGGTAAAGAACTTAATTCGTCTGTTCTTAACCTGAAACTGTTCTTAACCTGAAGCACCACTTTAGCTAATGGGGCCTCCCGCTGCCGCCGCGGCACCGGAGCACGAGTTCTGTTCTCATCCTGAAGCAAAGTTCTTAACCCGAGGTACTATTTCTGGGTTAGTGGAGTCTGTAACCTGAAGCGTATGTAACCCAAGGTACCACTGTATTAAGAAGGAGGAGGAGGAGGAAAAGGTGTTGCAATGGAGGAGGGCAGGGGAAAGAAATCTGGCACTCATTTTTTCTTGCTACAGAACTAAAAGATTTCTCCTCTTTTCTCTTGGGTTAGCGGTCACCATAAGGGGAAACAGGTCACCCATCCCCCCAGAAAATGGACTGATCGGAACCAGTCTATGACATCAGCTCAGAATCCCAACCTCACTTGGCAGTTGAGACCCAGCCTTGGCCCAACAGCTCTTGGGTGGCTTAGCTGATTTTCAAATTTTATTTTAAAAAATCACATATTGGACCGCGAGGAAGCGGGAGTGACAAGCAGCCAAGTCTGAAGATGGGAAAAGAGGAAGACCCTAGGGGGCTTGGAGAAGGAGACGGTGGCGGCCGCAGGAGGGGAGCTGAAGTCCCAGCTGCAGAACCAGCAGCCTCTGCCTGGCAGCCGAGGGCAGACAGCAGCCATGTTGGTGACCCCATGGCGGGACCCAGCCATGTTTGTGACCCCGGCAGCATGGAGGCTGCTGGGGACGCCAGGAGACGTCCCCCTCCTGAGGCCTGGGGACCCAGCACCAGCAGCCCTGCCTCCCCCCTCATGGCCTGGAAGAGCAAGAAGATGTGGCGGAAATGACTGGCAGAATCCGAGACCAGAGAGACGAGTCGGTGAAAGAAGATTGGAAGAAATTTAAAGACTACTTACAGAAATATTGTAAAATTAAGGAATCTTAGAACGATGTTGGATAGAAACTAAGAGGTTTTTAGCTGTAATGCTTTAAGAGATATGAAAAAAGGTTTGCAATTGGGTAACAGCTCAATGGTAAGGATTTGCTGAACTAACAAATTGAACTGGAATACAAAAAAGGGAGGTATGAGGAGGTCCGGGGAAATAAGTGTAGGGAAGATAGGTTATGGAAAATTAATGTCTTTTTAACTGTCTTATTTGGTATGTTTCTTTTTCTTTTTTACTTTTTTGGTTATATTTTTAAAACTTTATTCTTTTTCTTTTTGTATTCTGTATTTTTTGTATTTTTTGAAACTTTAATAAATATCATTTTTTTTTTTAAAAAAAGGGAAGAGCAAGAAGATGACCAAGCACATCTTTTTCTTTTTGGATTATGTATTGTGTGTTTTTGTATTTTAACTTTTATGTTCTTCTGTTTAACTTTTATTGAAATCTTAATAAAAATTATTAAAAAAAAAAAAAAAGAAGATGACCAAGCACATCCAGTGGGCAGATGAAGAAGAAGACCAGAGCCAGACGAGGAGGCGAAGCAGCTGCAGGACGTGGGGTCCCTGCAAGAGCAGCCTGGCCTCCCCGCCCCGGAAGAGCAGAGCAGCCAAGGGCCACAGACTCCACCTGCCGAGGGCCCGGGGCCCCCTGCGCCCAGCCCCAGCCGGAGCGGGGCGCCGGCCAAGAGGATGAGGCGCTGGCTGCGCGTGTCCCTCCGAGTAAGAACAGCGCCGCCTCCCAGGACGAGCTCTGCTAAGCCCCGCCCCCAGGCTGGGGTCTCCTCGGAAGAGGAGGAAGTGAAGCCCCGCCTTCCACCTCGCGGCTCCATCCCGAACTGCCCTCCGCCTGCGCCAGGAAGCCAGCAGCCTTGATGGACAGCTCACGGAGGAAGAACAGGGGGAAGCGGGGCGCCGGGCTGGCCAATGGGAGGCGGCGCCCTGGCGGTGGCGGCCAATCAGCGCGGGAGGGCGGGCGGAGGAGGAGGCGGGCGGGAGAAGGGAGTCGCTTCGGGGCGGAGGCTCCGGACTCGCTGGGGCGTCGAGGTGCAGGGCGGACGCGGCGCGGAGGGCAGGACGGAGGGCAGCTGGCCTAAGGCTCCCCGGAGACGGAAAGGTGAGCTTTGAATCCAGACGTGTGTTCGGCTCTGTCTTTCCTCTGCTCGTGTCTTGTCTGCTCCACTTGGATTCATTTCTCCAGCTTTTCTGGTGGCCGCTGCTTCGGGTTGAAATCAGAGACTGGCTAATGTAATTCTAACCTTGGCCACATATTTTGCTTAGTTCTTCTAGAATTGCCCCCACCCCTAATTGAGAATGCCTTTCAGGAGCTGCAACAAAACAAACTGAAGAGCTGAGAAATGTTCCCACCCGTCTGATTGCCTTAATGCACTTTCCTTAAGTGCACCAGACAGTTCATTGATTTGGGAAACATGTATGTTGGAAACTTGAGACTTGCTCCCATCTTCATGAGGATGAAATGTTCACTTTTAAATGTTCCGTATGCCTTACCTTTGGGTCCCCTGAAGCCCGCACATCAGTTCCTATAGTAAAACTACATACAATATTATAAAACAGAATAACAACTTCAGTTTTAAAAATGAGAACAAGAATGCTGAGAACAATTTTTTTTATTTGGGTACCTGGTGGAAGAGGTTAGTCTCTACTAACATTTCTAAGAGTCTACTTAGTAGAATGAGCTTGGCATAGATTTCTTAGGAATACTATAAAGGCTGCCATTATCCAAAAAGCTTTATTTCAATATAGAAATGCAAGCTTGAGTTGTTGAGTGTAGTCTCAATATTCTCTCTCTCTATATATATATGAACTTTGCTATATGTCTTTTGAAGGTTTTTGGGATCAGAGTTGTTCATTAAATATGCTACATTTCCTAGCTCTTGCGCTTTAAATTTTCTAGCCTGGAGCTGTTTGCTGCAAACTGGCCTAGTGTAGCCTTGAGGCCCTTTTGTGAAGCCAATTTGCTCTCATTAAAATGAAATCTAGTTTCTCAGCATTCTCAAGATCCTGGCCCTTGTCGTTTAAGAGAAGCCTTAGTTGAATAAGTTATACTTGAATAAGTTACCTGTCACAACCTACGTTAGTTTAGCGTGTTCCTGTAATCAGTAGATTTAAGTCTTATATTTTATAGTGGGAATTATCACTGGCAGTAAAAACCTAGGTCATGACATTTTATATTTTTATTCATGTTCTAAGTACTTAATACTTGTTTCCATTTGAGATTTTGTGAAAAGCGGTATGATAATTGTGTGGTGGTGGACTTTCTGGATAGAGGCTTTCATCCTGTTGTTGTTTAGTCGTTTAGTCGTGTCCGACTCTTCGTGACCCCATGGACCAGAGCACGCCAGGCACTCCTGTCTTCCACTGACTCCTGCAGTTTGGTCAGACTCATGTTTGTAGCTTCGAGAACACTGTCCAACCATCTCGTCCTCTGTTGTCCCCTTCTCCTTGTGCCCTCCATCTTTCCCAACATCAGGGTCTTTTCCAGCGAGTCTTCTCTTCTCATGAGGTGGCCAAAGTATTGGAGCCTCAGCTTCACGATCTGTCCTTCCAGTGATCACTCAGGGCTGATTTCCTGAAGAATGGATACGTTTGATCTTCTTGCAGTCCATGGGACTCTCAAGAGTCTCCTCCAGCACCATAATTCAAAAGCATCAATTCTTCGGTGGTCAGACTTCTTTATGGTCCAGCTCTCACTTCCATACATCACTGCTTTCATCCTAACGTAAGCTAATTTAGAGAGGTTTGTGGGAGGACAGTTTCCGATATCCTCTTCCTCATGAAGCCACCTGTGTCCCAAATAGTCTGTCCAGAGAATCAGAAGGGGATTCCAGAATCATGTGAGATGGTATGCAGGGGAGTGGAGGGGTAGAAAACACTTCTGTGGATTTCTATAAGTTAACTTACTTTAGGATCCACGATCTGGCTGATCTCCCTCCACCATGATGTCTTAAACTCCTCCTATTTTTTTTTTTTCCATGAGGACTCCCCCCATCCAGAGATGATTTTCAGGGGGTGGAGGTGACTTCAGAGGTCAGGAGGGGACAGGAAACGTTTCTTTCTTCACCATCTTTCCGTTCCCTTATTATTCAACAAGCCATATTAATGACTTTGCAATGATGTGTGTTGCAAAAACCCAGTCTTGAACTTTAACCCAACTTTTTAATTTTTACTTATTATGAATTAACTTAGAAATCTTAGAAAACTGCATAACATAGCTGAAGTTTTCAGAGCAGTGAATATGGAGGACTGCAATAAATACCTGGATCTTACCTGATCTTCTTGATAAGATATATATCTTCGAAGAGATACTGTCATACTTTACAATCTTTCTGGCTTTTCTGCTAATCACAAACACTGGCTTATTAATTCAGACAACACATTAAACCAAAATAAGCAGCCTTCTGTAACAGTTGCTTGACCTAATGTCCAAATGGACAGTGTTTGTTGCTATGGCATCTGCAATACAGGCCTGACCCTTGAGACTATAAAAACGTCTATATCATTATCTAGCTAGAGTATTGTGCTGATCTAAATGATACAGCTTTTAGTCTTAAAGGGAGCTTCCTAGTTGGGAGGAGTTGCCACGAAAGGGGAACGAACACTTGTCATACAGAAATGTGTATACTTGTTGTGCGTGCAGATTATGTAACATGCCAAATGGTTACTCTTGCAGGCTGTTTCACAAGTGTCAGTTGTTACTGAGTTTAAATTCAGTTGAAGTGCAAAATGAACTCCTAGCTTCCATTGTTAACATAGTCTTGGTTGGAGGAGAAGGAATTAACTGATAGGCCAGGAGAACACTGAATGGTTTGATTCTTTGCTGTTGCATGACTTCCCAATTTTACTATACTGTGGAATCAGCGTTCGAAATTGAATGGTTGCCAGTCGGTTTTTTGTGACTCACTCCACCTAGCAAAGGAGATCTTGAGATCTCTGGCTAGTGTTCCCTTTCTGTTTGCTCCCCAGGAAGCTTTTTGATGTGCTAAATGAGCTGTGAAGAAGCAGTTGTGAGGGGACAGACACTTTGTGGTTTGCAAACAAATGGATTGCTTCTCTCTTGCAGAGGTGGGGCGCAGCAGGGGAGATCTAGCTGTTTTGTTGTGACTTGGCAAACTGAAAGAAAATGATTCACCCCAGTGAGAGCCAGTGTGGTGTCTTGGTTAGAGTGCCTGTAGGACTAGGACTTGGGAGACCCGGGTTCTAATCCCCACTCAGCCATGAAGTTCACTGGGTGTTGCTGTCCTGTGCATGCCTAAACTTAAGTCCCAATGTGTTCTCTTTATGACCTGTTTTGCTGTGGCTGGTCACAACCCTCTAAATACCACAAATTGCGAAAAGAACCAAATGTATTCTCTCTCTCAAAAAACAGAAAGTGCTGCTGCATTGGGGAGAAAAATGGTGACTAGCCATTCTGTTTTTGTGCCCGTAACGCAGGAGCCATGTGGCAAATAGCTTTCCTATCCCAATTTCTAACACGGGGGGATATGTATGCTGTCTGAATGTGTCAACAGAATTTAAAAATTATTGTGGCAAGATAAAACTCTGTATGCTTTGAAACTGCTTTAGTAACAAACATTTTTTTAAAAATCTGATTCTTGTACAGTGCAGTGAAGACTGCCACATTTGCCTAAAGGCTACTGAGATGTAAGTTAGGGTTCTCCTGTGTCCCCTCACTGTGTTCAAGACCTGTGCTTGCTTAATTTTTTTGCTGATAAGTAGCATCTGAGCAGGCCTTCAGGCTATGCATAGTTTGAAACTATTACCTACTGTAGGACTTCCATGCAAATACATTAATAACCATTTAAGTTTGGTGGTACTTGACTTTCAATTATGTATTTTAAAGTGAAACTTGTTTTGTGTATTGACAGCATAAACTGGAGTTGCTGTGTGAGTTTAGAGTTGTGGAACTGCCTGCTCCTTGCACTATGTTCAGATTACATATTATAAAAGCATGACTCTTTCTTACTTAGACAAACATTTGCTTTAGAGGCATTTGGTTGATTTCATGTATGTGACCTGTAATTAGTTGTGCTGACTTGGCTTGGCAGGGTAGGGTGGTAGGCTATACAAGCATTTGAGAAGGTAAGAAATGTTGTTTGCTAAATAGACCTTAAGTTGGGTGTAACTTCAGTCTAGGGGGGAAAAGCAAGACTCTCCAAGGTCTCTTAGGATGCTTTAGCTGCTTATGAATTGGGTTTTTTCCCTGCACATGCTATATATTTAATTGTATTGAGACACTTTAAGGCAATTCCAGTTCATGTATGGAAGAATGACCAAAGGTAGACAAGTAACAGAGCTCTTGAGTCAGATTCAACCCTGGCTTCTAAGAGATCCCTCCTGATAAAATTCTCAAGATAGAAAAGGTTTCCATTTTTGATAACTCTGGGTTGTACTTCCCTAGAGGGGAAGCATTGCTGGGAAGCAGGGCAATAGGTAGAAGGTAAAAATTCAGCCATGAAGCTCACTAGGTGGCTTTAGGCTCAGAGACAATGGCGTATCCAATGTACCTTACAGTGTGGTAGAGGATAAAGTGGAATAGCTCCATGTCTACCATCTTGAGCTCCGTGAAGCAATGTGAGAATCCAAAGGAGACTGATATATGTAGTTGACATTCATAATGACAGCACTCTTTAATACTCTAGTTTGGGAAGGCTTTCTTTGGGTCACTTCAATTGTGATTTAGACTGATTTATTGCATCGTCTTCCGCATGTAATATGAAAATCACTGCTTTTGATTCCTTTTGTCTGAAAATCAGCATATATTTGGGGTAATAGTCTGAGTGAATTCATATTGCTTATGCCTCTTGCAAGTTGGCTTAAGGCAAACATTTTATGAAAAAAAGTTTTGGTGTACCCCTCAAAAGAAAAAGCAGACAAAGTCTAATGAATTTTAAAGCACTACTAAAGTTTGTATAAAATCTATTATCCCAGTAGTTTATTTGGGGAGCATTAGACAAGGTACAAGTTTGTCATCTGAAATATGTCTAGGGAAATATATTAATCCCTGTGGAAGTACTGTATAGTTTGTAGTTCAACTGGAAATACAGGTTAGTGGTTCATGAGCCTTGATAATGACACAAAGTCCATGTCTTTAAAGGTTAATCAACCAAGGAACTTAATTTCATCACTATATCAGAACTGTGACAAGTGTTGTATTCCCATAGAAACCACAATAACCAGCATCAAGAGCTACATTTCCTTACTTCTTTCTGTTCTGAGATAGCAGTGCATTGCATGCTTTTCTTCTGAAAAGGCATACAACCTGGTAACATGTCAGGAAAGAATTATGGATTAAAACAGTGGAATGATCCATATGCCTCTTACTCAAAAGCAGCACAAATTACATTGTGTGTGGTTTAACTGGCATTTACCTGATTTACTACCTAGCTTTAATGCTATCAGTTATTTATTTGACTTAATGGTTATTGCATAGCTAGTATGCAAATTAAGCTTAATTTAAACAATCTAGTTTTTGAAATACCTGGAGAAAACACGGACGTTACTAGTGGCCAACATAAAAACACATTATACTACGTAAACTTTCTAAAGTGGAAAGTAAGCAGGGAATAAGATGAAGGCAGAAGGATAAAGGTATGGTTTTTTTTGGCATTAATATGACATTTATTTTTAATCTGTAAAAACAAGTGGCATCTGCAGTGCAGTGTGGTTTGGTTCAATGTTCCAACCATACCGTTCTATTCCCCATCCTCTGTTTTATTTTTCTCCATCAGCATTCTGTGCTTAGTGCCCAATGAACTATTTTGGGTTGCTTGCCCCTTAAGGGCAATATCCATGATTCCACATGTGAGCAGAAAAAACAGAATTTCCTCTCCCCCATCCCAGGTTCCCTGAAATTTGCTTTGCAGAGTCCCCAACCCTCAGGGAGGAAAAAAGAAATGGAAAATACTGTTAGGTGAGTGAAAGCTCATTGAATGGGCAGAGTGAAACCTTTGCCATTTTTTTTATTACATTTATATTTCACCTTTCCTCCAAGGGGCTCAAGGTGGCACATGCGGTTTCTCCCACTCTCACATTTTATCTTCGTAACAACCCTGTGAAGTAGGAACGCTGAGAGGCAGTAACTGGCCCAAGGCCACTCAGTCAGCTGCATGGACTCTAGTCTCCCAGAACTCTAACCACTAAACCACACGGGCTCTCAGGACATCATGCCGGTTTGTATGCCATCCTTAGTCCTTTATTTTAAAGGTTTTGTGCACTTCTGCAAAACTCAGGGTTTCTCTTAGCATGCTGAAACTTCCCTCTTATGAATGGATGGAGCTTTTTTGACTATATAATCGCCAGCAAGCAGATAATTGAGATCACTATTAGCAGTTCTCTCCACACATATTTCTTCTACCACTTAAATGAAAAAAATGTGAATTCAAATGGTAATTGATGGGCCACAGTAGAGGAAGTGTGAAATGAAATTATTCAGGGATCTGCTCAAAATCTTCATAAAACTTTCTGTAATTTGGAGCAAAGAAGGTGGCAATACTTAAACATGAAACCCGCCGTACTGTACTGCAAATAATTCTGGACAGGGCTATATTTAAGTTATAATGGTCGATTCTTCTTGTATATTCCCGAGAATACAGTTCTTGCTTTAAAATAAGGCCTCTAGCGCATCACTCATACTCTGACCCATGAAATAGCAGTAAGATCATGCTACAGGCTGCTTCTAAATAGTTTTGCCCTCAGAATTTCTTCACAAAATAGTGTGGAAAGAATATGTTGGGAAAATTAAGCTCTGCTTCCTGTTAGGCTGCATGCCACATATTCTTATCCCCTTTGGTAGGTTTTAAGGCAGATGAAAAACCTGCTTCCCTTATCTCAGACTTGCAGAACTACCTCATAGAATGAAATAACCAAAGCCCCAAACATTAAGATGAATGCCTGTAAGAGCAGAGATTTCTAGCAAAAGAGAGAGATAAAGAAGAATAACTGAACTTGTTGCATGTGAAAGCTAATTGCTATCTGGTGTTCTACTTTGCAGAAGGTGCTGTTCCACTTTAGGCACCTGGTTGTGAATAGGTAATGGTAGTATCTGTGAGCTGTGCAGACTCTGGTTTAGGGTATCAGCAGAGGAAGTAGTACTGTGAACAGTTTATATTAAAGAGCCGTGTTCTTACATTGGATACAATCCCACAATATATTGGGATGCGTTTCTAGCTTAGATAGGGTATAGACTGTGGAATTCAAAGTAGCACTAATGAGATTTGACCTCCTGATGGAATGGCCTTCCTTCTGTGCATCTGTGTGCTGTTCTGGGTGTTCTCCCAGCTCCCCTCACCGTTCTGGTTATCACAGAATCATAGAATTGTAGAGTTGGAAGGGTCCCGGAGAGTCATCTAGTCATCCATAGCTGTCAACCGTCCCTTATTTGGCGGGAAACTCCCTTATCCCAGCGCCGTTTCATGCTGCTGTCCCGGATTGATGATGTCCCTTAAATTTCCTGGGTTTCATGCTCGCCCGGCTCGGGAGGGAAGCAGCGCCTCGGGGTTCTCTGCCGCACAAGAGAGCGCGCGCGCGAGCTGCCACGTCCCCGTCTCTCCCTTTTCCCCCTCAGGGGTGCGTCGTGAGGAGACGGGTGGCGGCGGGCGGGCGGGCAGTCCCTCTCTTGCAAGACTTCCGCCTTGCTGCCAGGGGAAGCCGGAGGGAGCAGGAAGAGGAGGGGATGGGGAGGGACGCAGAAGGGCGGCACTTCAGCAGCTGCGCCACCGCCGCAACTGCCTCATGGCGGGCTCACGGGCGGCGTGGGCGACAGTCTCTCTCCATCCCCCCTCTCTCTCGGGCAGGGAAGGGCCGATGGAACTCCTCGCGCCAGGACGACGGCAGTCCCGACGTGCTGCTTAGCATACCCTCCAACCAGTACAGCATCTTAATGTAGTGATTTCCCCCTCTGCATCCCTTTCATAACGCTATTTTTATTAATCATTTGTCCATCCATAGTTCAAATTTTTACTACAAGTTTTCTGTCAATCCTACCAACGTATGTAACTCTTTCCAATAGCTTTTCAAATAAATTATAAACTTTCCCCATTCTTTATTAAAGAGGTCCTCTTCCTGGTTTCTAATTCTGCCTGGAAGCTTTGCCATCTGGACGTCGTTCATCAGTTTTGTCTGCCCCTCTTCTTTGGTGGGAGTCGTAGACCCTTAGGGTCATCTAGTCCAACCCCCTCAAAACACAGTCAGTCGCAGCCAAAGCAGCCTGGCTCCATCAGTGGTGGATTTCTGCATAAGCTAAGCCAAAATCCCTTATTTTGGCTGCTGATCCCTTATTTTCGAGGCTGCCGGTCCCTTATTTTCAAATCTGTAAGTTGACAGCTATGATCTAGTCCGACCCCTTGTGATGCAGGAATCTCAACTAGACCATACTCGGCACAGGCCGTCCAAACTCTGCTGAAAAGCTACCACGGAAGGAGAGCCCCATTTTGCTAGCAGGACTTACTGGACTGGCTCCCGTTAGTGTAACTACTTAGTTGACTCTGTATCTTTCTGTAGCTAAGCCAAAGAACGTGTAATTGAAATAATCACATATTCTTCCCCTACCTACATGGGGCTCCATTTCTCCCCTTCCTCTGTTGCCCTGTGTATACACAGAAATATTAAACAAGAATCCTGAATTGATTGGTTATGTAATAAACTAATTCAGACAAAGTACAGGGGGAAATCATTTTTGAAAACTAGGCATCTCTTCCTGTCAGAGTAGGATGGTTACGAATGAGCCCTGGGGGGTGGTTGAGGGAGACCACCTTAGCCTGAATATTGGGAGCTAGATGGTTGGCAGCTCCTCAGGGTGAGGGGCATTAGGAACCTGTCATACCTGTTTGTTGTAAAATGCTGTGTACACAGATGGTACAGTATAAAATAAAATAAAATAAAATAATAAAGGTGGTGTCTTATTAAGGCAGGATCAGTCTATTAGCCAGGACAGATAAGTGGAACCTCTTGCATGCAGACGCTGTGGACATACAACGGTGGAGGGATGCTGTTCTCTTGTGCTGCTTGAAGCCTTTGCCAAAAGGAGAGATGGCATTTTCAAGGGGGGGCGGGGAGTTGAATTAGGAAAATTCCTAATTGTCAGGGCTGGTCGTTGTCCTCTTCAGATCACCACACAAACGCTTCTTGTTCTTTTATAACTTTTTATTGCGTATTAACAAACCATCTTGTAAACGGTTCTTATCTTTCACTATTCTTCCTCAGAGTCCCTTATTTCAGATACCTTCTGAGCTCTGCTTCTCTGTGACCAGCCACCCTCAAAATGGCGAAGGCGCCATTGTTCCTTTCACTTTCCCGCTCTTTTTTCTACCCTCCTGGCTAGAGCTGGCTTGTATCTCCCCTCCTCCCAATCTGAGCTAGAACTTAGCCCTTGCCTTTCCTGGGAACATCCGGTCCCTCCCTGTTGTTCTCTTCTATTAGCTTCACTGCTCTCCTCCCCACCTTGGGGAAAAGATTATACCAAAATATAATGATACATTGACATAATAATAATATAATATCTTTATTAGACAATTGATCACGTTCTCAGTGTGACATTAGAAGTATACTTGACTGCTCCATAAAGACCATCTCTAGAATCAATAGCCGTATAATACAGCAAGGTGAAGATCATAGATGACATTTCAAAGTCCGGGCTTCCCATTCAGGGCCGAGATCGCTCTGGAGAAGAAGCTGTTCTTAAGCACTGGTTACTTCGCTCTGTGTCTTCAACCGCTCCTTAGTATTCTCCATTCCGAGCTGGCAAGAGCTCGAAGAGACAGTGACCAGGATGCGATGGATCTTTTACTATGTCCAGTGCCTTCCTATGGCACCTTGTGGCATAAATCTTGTGCCACAACCCTGCACAACCCCATCATGTCCTGGGTAGTACAGCTTCCGTACCACACACATAAGCCATAAGTGAGCATGCTCTCAATGGCACAGTGATAGAAGGCAAGCAGCAGTTTCTGCGGAAGATGGTTTTTCCTTAGTATTCTCAAAAAGTACAGTCTCTGCTGCGCCTTCTTCACAAGCCCCCTTGTGTTGACACTCCAGGACAGATCCTCTTGTAATTCAATGCCCAAAAATGCAACCTTGCCATCGCACCCGGACCTGTTATGGGGGCTGGTGTCGGGGGAAGCTCGGGCTTCCCCCATCCCCAGCCTGGCAAGCTCGGGGGGGAGGAAATAATTCCCCCCTCCCCCCAAAATAAGTGCGCCCTATGGGCCGGTGCGCCCTATAGGGCAAAAAATACGGTATTTAATACACAACATGTATAGTTTGATCTCTGAAGAAGCCAAACATGTAAAATCAAGTCTCTGTTGTTTATGACATTAGTGTCAGGGAAGAGTTAGAAGTTCCCAGTTTTCCAGAGGGAGAAAGTTTTCCCAAACTTCCGCTGGCTTTGTGTGGGTGAGTGAGTGAAAATGCAGATATTGGTACAGTGGTACCGCAGGTTACATGCGCTTCAGGTTACAGACTCTCCTAACCCAGAAATATTACCTCGGGTTAAGAACTTTGCTTCAGGATGAGAACAGAAATCGTGCTCCGGCAGCACAGCGGCAGCAGGAGGCCCCATTAGCTAAAGTGGTGCTTCAGGTTAAGAACAGTTTGAGGTTAAGAATGGACCTCCGGAACGAATTAAGTACCACTGTATTATCAATGAAATCACAGTCTTGTAGGTGTTGAATACTAATGGTTATTGCCCTAATTTCTGTGTTCTTTCAGATTTTGAGTATGGCCTGAATGACTGACCTAGTTATGCTGTCAGTAATTGCTTCAAATCTGAGGCTTAAATGTGATGGCAGCAAACCTGTTTAGAATCATGGAATTGTAGAGTTGGAAGGGACCCCGAGTCCCACATCCCCCTGCAATGCAGGAATCTCAACTAGATCATCCATGACAGATGGCCATCCAGCCTCTGCTTCAAAACCTCCAAGAAATGAGTGTCCACCACCTTGTACATAAAGATGGGTGGATTTATTTTTTTAAGTGCAAAAGGTGATAATGGTAATAACCTCTCTGCAGATTGTCTTCCTGGGACTCAGCTATACATCTGGAAATAAAACGTTTTAGGTGTGTTTTAAGTGCAGTATACAATGTGACACTAGATGGCGAAAATTCAATGTATTTTTAAAAACACTTTTTAAAAAAAAGCATTTTCAGAACTTTTTTTAATATGTGTGTAGTTTCCACTCTGGACACTTTAAATTTCAGCCAGCTCTGTGGTAAACTCATCTAAGAGAAAAGTGTCTGTGTGCATGCAGGGGGTGCAAAGGGGATTCAGCTCTCTTTTTGATCAGGTTCCTCGCCCACTCAGTCTGATTACAGAGCACTGTCTCACTTGAAAACAAAATTCTGCATCCCCAATGTGTAAGTAAAACTGAACATATTGTGGCATTCCAGTTACTGTATTTTTAAATAAACCACCATAAGGCATTCTGTGATTGTCCTTTGCTTGGCTAGTATGGTATTGCAGTTTTCACTGGGGCTTTGAAACTTCCCTTTTTTTGGTGCAATTGGGGTTGCTGTTCATGAATATCTGATAGATTAGCAGTACTGGATATCCCATGTAAATCTGTCCATTCATTAAGACCATCCCATTCTGTGGGGCGGGGGGGTTAGGCAGGTGTTTAGGGCTTAGGCTTCTTTGCTGGTACTGTCCCACTAAGTGAATACCCTCCTAAGAAGCACTTCTTTGATGCTGCTGACTCCTTTTTCAGGCTCCAAATTCGTTTTATATTCCTGACCATGTCATGATTGGTTGATTTGTTGATCTGCAACAAATCAGTTTTCATTGATCGGCTTTGACCTTGTATTCCTTAATTTATGTTTCTGTTCACTTTATTATTTTGTTGGTTGCTTGGATGTTGGCAAGTGAAAAGAAAAGGATAATTTAGCACAATTCTTTCTGAATCTTGGTATTTGGAGGGTGGGCAGGATAACCTTTTTCTGGAATATAGACTGTATCTGGTGAATACGTATGGGTTCCATATTATTTAGTAGTGGCTTGAAATCCTTCAGGCTACAGGAAAAAAATGCCAGCATAATGTTAGCATAACCTTGAGCTCCTGCAGACTTTGTGGTTTTTTTCCCAAGGCACTATCTTGTGATCTTCATCAAACTATGTAATTATAAAGAAGGTGACGTAAAGGAAACTCCTTCATTGTTAGTCTTCATGTGTGTGCGTCTGAACAAGAAAAATAGCGTTAATTGCTGCTGTTGATCCTAATATATTTTTTAAAGATTAACCATTCTATGTGGAAATATAGAATTCATTAAAATCCAGGGAATAAGGAGGTATCTCATCACCTTGTCTTATCTTGGCTGAAAATTGGATTTATAATTTGTCAGACTAGCTGTTGTTAGACTGTTTGTGAGTTGCCTAGGAGGTAGTGGCTGGGAAATGAAATAAAAATTAGGCACCATTCCTTTCCGTATATGTGCACATAATAGGTATAACATAAGATCTGCTGAGTAATTCTTTGTCCAACTGATTATATTTTTTGTTTCTTAGTTTCAGATATTTTCAATTTCTTGGGAGAGGCAGGTTAGTGCAGAAACTGCAGTATATAAGCAGTAAAAAAACAAACAAACAAACAACGTTTTGGCTGGTGGGGGAAGAGATCTGCAGTATGAAAGAATGACCTTATCTTGAGCTACAAGGAGTTTAGCTGCCAACAGGAAATGATGAAATGTGCCGTGAGAATTCTGTTTGCAGAACACTGCAGGTATTACAGTTCTGTTAGGAGAAGACAGGCACAGGGTTCACAGATCTACATGATTATGCAAGCATGTGAAATGGGGAAGAATGTGGAATGCTTAAGGTATTTGTAAGTAGCTAGATGGTATTGCAAACTTAGTTTAAAATTATTGGCCTAAAAGAAACCTCACCTATAGGATAATAGATCAAATGCTAAATATGAATTAGTGTTGGCGTGACTGCAAGCACTTTCGGAGCACCTCTAATATAGAAGGTCAGGGATTAGTTATTTGTGGATTTACTTAATTGCAGGTACATTATATTTGTTTTTAATGGGATATAAAGTTAGGCCTTCATGTATTGCCTTTCTCTGGTGTTACCGTTTCATTGCCTGTGTTTCTTTCTTAATTTGTTGTTAGCCATATCATGTCTGGCATAAGGGGCATTTTTTATCCAGCTAAGGTAGCCTAGGCTTTTCCAGAATAGTTCTGTCCCCATCAAAGATAGAACTGCTGTATAATGTCAAGTTACTTAAGGTTTCCTAGTTACTCAAAGCAACTTACATAGTGAGTCACAATTATTTCAAAATGTTTTCTTTCCTTCACTTTAGAAATTCAAGTGATATTCTGACTTGCCACTATTAAAAGAAAGACGTAGTAATAGGAATTGAGGAACAAAGAAGTTTTGTAAAGCTTTGTAAACTCTTCAAAACTTTAATCCCTAGTTATCTGGACCAGCTAAACAGGTGTTTGTTTTTTTGAAATTTATGATGCTGGTATCTTCTGTTGATAGCTTAGTGTTTTTTGTGGATTTGGTTTTGTTAAGCTGGTATGGATTTTTTGGGGGTGGGGTGAATTGAACAAATTTTAATGAAATTAAAAGTTAACATTTGGAAAGGGCTTCTTAAGGTTACCAAAAGTATATATGAGTTTCAGTATTGCATTAAATTGGGAAGCAAGGGATATTGCTGAATAGATGGAAAAGTAGTGTTATTATCCATTACTGTATGTGATTCTGCAAATTGTCTATTATGAAGGTGGAAGATGTTGTAGAGGAACATCTGAGATTTTAGTGTCCATTCATGGCTGGTACTGTTTGTTGCTAAATAAAGTATTTGTTTGGCTGAGTTCCCTTTAAATCTATGGACAAGTCAGAATTGTTCAGTTGGAGTGATGTTTTTGGTTGCAAGTAGCTTAACCCCACCAACATTTGTGGCTCACTAGTGAGGTCAAAATGTCATTCTTATGGCACTTGGGCAGATGTGTAGCTTCCCCTGCAAGCTGCAGACAAGTTTCTCCCCCTTCCCTGTTATATTTCGCAAGGCAAAGTGTGTGAAGGAGTTTGAGTTTGCCTATCTGGTTCTTCTTCATTAGTTGTTACTTGGGAGAGTGAATAATGTTTAAACCAGGGGAGACGAAGTAGTATCCTTCAGTTGTTGTTGGACTATAACTCCTATCAGTCCCAGGCAGCATGGCCAATTTCATTTTTCACTTTTCATTTTCATTTTCCTTTTAATTTGTATACCACATTTCCATTTTGCTATCCTCAAGGCGGTTTACAAGCTGAAGAAACATCAAAATATACAGCAATCCGATCCAATACAAATAAGTCATAATAAAAGATATCACTTAAAAAAATTCTGAGGGGGGATGAGAGTTTGGTAGGCATTATTTTGTCTGATTGAACACCTTTTTGTTCAGTGAGTGTGCAATCTGCCTATACTGCAACTGTCTGTAGTATGCATGGGCTTTGAAAGTGGAATCATCATCATCATCATCATAACATCAACAATTACTTATAACATCAAACATGAAAAACGTCCTGATACAGGACAGCCTTCAAATGTGTTTGGAAAGTTGTAGAATTGTTTATGGGAGGGTGCTCTATAGGGTGGGCACCACTACCAAGAAGGTCCTCTGTTTTAGGGGCTCCCCCAGCCCCCTAGAGCCCCTTGGGGCCACACTGGGAGGTGTGGGGGGCAGGAAAGGGACAGAGGTTTCCCTTGCACAAGTAGAAGTCTTTGCATGAACAGGACCCCTTCTGTTTCATTTCAGTATATTTCAGCTGGCCACTCCAACACAGAGACTGAAAACAGCCTCTCCAGTTTATCATCCCATGATACCTCAAACAGAAAGTGTTTTTAAAACCCATTTAGAAGACAGGAGGTTGCTGTTCATATTTCCTTAAGAAGGAAGCTCTGTATCAGGGTCAGCAACCTTTTTCAGCCATGGGCCGGTCCACCGTCCCTCAGACCATGTGGTGGGCCGGATTGTATTTTTTGGGGGGAAATGAATGAATTCCTATGCCCCACAAATAACCCAGAGATGCATTTTAAATAAAGGGACACATTCTACTCATATAAAAACATGCTGATTCCCAGACCGTCCATGGGCTGGATTGAGAAGGTGATTGGGCCACATCCGGCCCACGGGCCTTAGGTCGCCTACCCCTGCTCTGTAGGAAGTGCCCATCAGGAAGGCCCTATCTATCTCTTGGACCTACCAGGCTAGCTTCCCTTCCTAGTTAGCAAACAAGAAACGCTGATCTTAATGTTCTAATAGGTTCATATGGGGTGTAGGTCGTCCTTTTAAGTGGCTTGACCCCAAATGTTAGTGGCTTTGAAGTTCATTACAAGTGCTTTGAATTGAGTCTGGAAGCAAATAGGTAACCAGTGCAGCTGAACCAGAATGGTGTAACATAGTTTGAGCATTTATTCCTCCTCAACACCCAAGCAACTGTATTCTGTAGCCCCTGAAACTTTTGGACAATGCAAATTGCATTGAAATTGGATGCCAGAAGGGCAGGTGTCACTGTAAGAAAACATCTTTCTCTAGATAGCGTCACAGCTGGTGAATTGGCTTGAGCTGATAAATGGTGCTCCTACTCATTGCCAGACCACCTGTAATTTCACCGATCATATCTTATTCAGGAGGACACCAAGCTGTGGCTTGGTCTTCCTGATGTGGTCTACTAGTAATGAACAGTTGGCCAGAAATAAAAAGTTCCAATCTTAAGCTCTGGGGACATTGTGTGGGGTTTTGCTTGGCATGCAGTGCTGTGCTTGCAAAGGAACCCTGTTCACGCACTGGTTGCACAACAAGGCATTGCAGACTGGCCAGGTCCCAAAGAGTTTTTAGGTGTGTCCAGCCGAATATTTTTACTTTGAGCAGAGGGCGCTGAAAGCAGAAACTGCTTTTTCAAACTCATTAATTTCACAAGAGACGAATAGTGTGGCAGCTTGGAGGATGGGTTCCTATTTGAGAAACACATGCTCAAAGCACCTCTGGGCATTTAGAACTAGTTGCCTTGCTGTTTGGACCTGGGCCATAATGTGTAATTTATTGCATATGTTAATGATACCACATCTTAAGGAAACGTTTAAAAAAAAAAAAGTTGGATTTTCATACCTGGGATTTTTCATGACAGTTTATGTTGGATGCTAATTCTCTGTGATGCTTTCCAGAATATTGAGTGAGTAATTAAAGAAATGGATTGTAAGACATGGGTGTGGAACCTGTTGAGTTTCCAGATCCAGGTGGCGACCATTTCAGGCGCAACCAATGGACATGCGTTTGCGAACGCAGGAGAACTCTTGGCTCTGGAGGAAGGTGTAACCGGGTCAGGGTGGAATTGTTCACACCACCAATGCTCATGTGGGCTGGGAAAGGAACCCCTGTGTGAAATGGTTGCCGCCTGTTCTGGTGTACTACAACTCATATTAACCCAGACCACTGACCGTGCTGGCTCGAACTAATGGGAGCTGGGAGTCCCATCAGGAACTGGAGAGTCACAGGTTTCCGACACGTGCTGTCAGATCATGCCTTACATGGGGTGGTGGTGGTATTTCATGAAACAGTTTTTGTACCCAATGCGCTGCATCCTAAATTGTATTCCTGAGCTCCACTACTGTGTTCTGTCCCTGAGCATTTTCACTAGGAATATTCTAGCTTGCCTCCACAAATATCTCCGAATGTCATGAGGAACTTAAGTATTTTGCTGGGGACTAAGATGGTAGGCTTGGGTAGGTCTGCTCATGGTTCAGGTAGAAAGATGACTGCCCAGGAGGAGTCATTGAAGTATGCTTCAAGGCTTAAATTGTTCTTAGAAAGTCGCTTCTGGTATTGTCTTAGAAACAGTTTTAGGAGGGGAAAGTGGTGAGGAAGCAGTTTTGGGACGAGGAAGTGGTGAAGTGGTGCAGATTCTGCCTTTGAATGCAGTCAATAGAAAGGAGTCAGTTTTTCAAAGTGAATTTTGTCAAAGTGAAAGCATCGTCCTCTAGTGTGAAGTGTCTGTTGTAATCAACTTTAGATGCTATTTAAAAACAATTTAGAACATCCATGTGTGTATCAAAGTTCAGTTTAAGTTCAGCTAATCTGCTCGGATCTTAAAACATCACATTAGCATGGGAGACTATTATGTAATAGGGTCATGTGATCAGCCAGGCAGGGAAATGTTTTCCTGTAAAATAATTCTCCATTACTTAATCCTAAAACCCTTGCAGTCAGGTTTTGCATATTGGAGCATTACAACTATGTTCAGACATGAGCTAAAGCATGTTTGGTCGAGATCATTGTGGGTAAAAATAATGACTTACAGGCAACTTGCTAGTAAGTACTTAATAGCCTTAACTGAGGCTAGGCTTCTTCATCCAAGTCTCTGATCAGTTTTATTCTATCTAGTTAGTAAAGTGATGCCTTTTTTAAGCTATTGAAATTTTGTTTGTTGTGGGTATTGCATTTCCTAGAAAGCAGCACTGTCATTATTTATTTATCAAATAATCATTGAAGAGGCTGATAATGTACTGGAAATGCCAATTAATTTATTTCCACGTCATCAAATATTCTATTTCAAGCAATCATGGTTTGCTGTGATTTGACACCACATTTTCTCAGCCAAACTTACACCTGTAGTACTATTTCTAGGTAACATGTTTGGCCTCTTTCTGATACTTTTGAGGTATATTATATTTACAGGCCAATCCTGTGAGTGTTTGAGCTGAAGCATTTCTTGGTAAATGTGCATATAATTGCAACATTATTTTCCCAGTCTGATTTCTAGTCATTTCAGTATCTTTTAAAATTATGGAAAATATTATAATTTCACTTTTAACAGTTGTAATGGCTTCACTGTGATAAGTGAGTAACTAATATAGATGAGGACATTCTGTGTGTAACCCCTGATCCTATACAGATAATTTCCTAAAGTTCTTAGGAATATCTGACTGATCATTAGGAGATGGTCATTAGGGCAACCATTATTGGAAGCCCCCTCAGAATGATGCTGTGTCATGATATGGTGGCATTCCAAGGAGAAAAATGTGGCTGTTGAGATTGAGATGAGCAGCACCATTGCCAAAGTCAGTCATCCCCCCTTCAAAAAAACCTCACACGTTTGTCCCTCCTGTTTGGTTCTCCCCCCAATTCTGAGCCAACGTTTCCCTGAGCTTTGCATGGGGAGGCATTGCCATAGCACAGAGGACTGGCTGCCCTCATCATGTTCTGCCACTCTAGTGCTCTCTCTTCCCACAGATGCCCTTGGCTTCCAACCTTGATGGTTTCAGTTTCCAGCGGGAGCTCAACAGTTTCCGTGCTTTGGGTGAGACTTGGAAGGCTAGCAGCTTAAAGGGAGGCTAGGCGATTTAAAAATCTGAATGCTCCTTTAAGCAGTCCACAAAAATCAATAGCTGTCCGTTGTTCAAAATACTTTTCTTCTCCAAATTTGGCTAAGTATAGCATATAGCTGAAGAAGAACATGCAACTTTGTGGTGGTTGTTTTTGCAGTCAAGTGGTTTATAAATTGTGCGACATAAATAAGAATGGTAGGTTTAAATCTGGATCAAGAGTACACTGTAGTGGTTCTAGGGGTTGCTCGTGCGTAAGCCGGTGCAAACACCTGGCTGGGTTGCCTGAGTGAACCTTTTCTGTCCGGACAGCCACTCACCCGTGGCAGAATCGCTGGCAGAATCCGTCAGTGGGCGTTTCTTAAACTTCTTCCAGCAAAGAAGCTCTTTGACGCCTAGTCTCCTCCTACTCTCTCTGTGCGAAAGCCTTCTGCGCAAGGAGGGCGTAGGCAGTGGAGGACCCCTACTCTCCCCGCTGGTCCCAGGCAAGAAGTCATGGGACCGCCTCGCCGCTTCCCCATCTGCCCCCCTTCTCCACTGGTGCTACGCTGATTCTCTTCCCCAGAAGATGGGCTGCCTCTCCCAATCCCGGGACGCTCTCTGGAATCCCTCTGGATCTTGCTCTCTCCCTCCGGCACTGATGGCAGTTCCCTGACATACACATAAGTAATTTTGCCAAGCCTTTTGAGCACCTGGTGATGTGAGTTAATTATTTTTAATATTCTAAGAATGAGTGACATAGTCTTTCCCTTTGAGATACTGAATTCATTTCCACTCATTTTTTATACAGCTTTGTTTTGTGAAACTGAGTCTAAATGTGTCACAGCTCCCTCATTTTTAAAAAGTAGTCTGGACTATTAAGGATGAAACACAATCCAGTTACGCTTCTCTACTGCTGTAGAGATAAATGCCAGGGCAATTGCTTTTGTGCTGAGTGGGGGAAGGCAAAGTCAATCTCTTTCATCAGATATGTTAAGGTACTGGCTGTTCTTCTAATCATTGTATTGTAGGAGACTGGAGTGAGTCATCGCTAGCTTAATGTTGGTATTTTAGTATCTAGTTTATTTTTAAAAAGTCCTGTGTGAGTAGAGATTTTTCTGGCGTGGTCGTTGCTATGACTTCATAATATTTCCCCAAATATGCCTGTTCCTACTTTCTCACCATGTAGCATCAATGATATGTACAAACCTTAAAATTAATATTAGCATAACTTGATGTATCATGAAGAAAGTGCTTTATTCAAAAAATATTATGACTTGTCTGATTGGAAAGAGTGTGTGTTTCTTCACTGCTGTATTAACCACTCCCAGGTTCCCTTGGCATGTAAACATTACAAAGTCATAGGCTGAATTCTGAAAGGTAAATATTTCCATAAGGTTGGTCTCGGAAGCCAATTTATTAAAAACAAAAGGGCATTACTGTATATAAGTTTGAAAAAGATCTTATAATTTGGAGGTTTGAATGACTTTCTTCATCACAAATGAAAATTTGGGACAGTAGAAATTTAAATAGAGCCAAGGCTGCTATGGGTAAGCTCTTTGCTGTCTATCTCTCAGAGTTGCCTGGCTAAAATTTCAAAATTTTGGTGGTAGCAGTGTAATCCTTAGCTAGAACTCAGCATGGAGGTTTGGCTATATTTTGGTCTGTATGAATAGCAGTTTTCATGACATGCACCTTGTTCTGCACTTGATATCTAGATGTATTTTGTAATTGACAACCATGAAAACACTTTCCTGTATGCATTGAACAAATCTTTTGGTTCAAATCTGTTCTGTGTGAACTCAAAATTAAGGGCTTTTGCTAAGCATTTTGCTTCCAAAAATGACATGCATTGATTATGATCCAGGTGGTGGTGAGATGGTTGACAAAGAACGTTCAGGCTTGGCAACAAAAAATGATTTCTGTAAGTAGCTGGAATATAGTCCAAGTCGACCTGAGCACATGAGGAAAGGAGAGGACCAAAAATCCTTACTGATGCCATTTAAAATTAGAAAACAGCCTTGTCTAACTGCTGTAATGTAACCTTGCTGGTACATTGGCCCTGGGAGTTTGTATTCTGACTGCAGAAGCTCCAAGACTTGCTTGCCCCTAGACCTGTTGGCTTTGCCTGGAGACTGGATGCAAAACAGGTGACTTGGGCTTTGTTTACACATAACAAGAAACCAAACTGGCTTAATGTGAACATCCTTGCTTTCTGGGAGGAGATTGCAAACACTCTGCTTCCTTCTTGTCCTTTTTGGTCAGTTCAGCATGGCACTAAACCCGAGTTTGGCTTATCATCCAACTCCGGGTTCATGGGTGAGCTGTCTGCTCCTTCATCACCATCTGTAGAGAAGGTTTGTTCCTGGGTACAGACTGTGGTTAAGGAGGAAAGAGCTTTACCAGCATTCTGGGTTCAGACGATACACTAATCCAAACGTTGACTTGGCTGCAGAGGAGAAAAGTGGATGTGAGCTCCTTTCTTGGAGCCAGCATGTTTGTGCAGTCCTGGTAAAAGTTTGGCTTACCGTGACATGTGAACCAAGCCATTAACTTAATATTTCGCTTGAGTATTTTACTCTTCTGACAGTTCAATCCTGCCAGATATGGCTCTGTATAATATAATATAATATAATATAATATACATAAAACAAATGTCTTTCTCTCTCTCTTTCCACTGCAAACTTAAAATAATTTTAATTCTTTAAAAATGTGCAAGTTCAATTCTTTGTTCCGCTGATCTTTGTATTTCCTCTCTACAGACTTTGAAGAACTCATATTTACAAGACTCCGGATTGCACTGGGTGTGTAGAGATGTCTGACTCGTATTATGATTCTGTTGGAGAAGAGGTTCCTAGTGACAGCTTCTGGGAGGTAATTAAGAAAAAAAAGGAAACAATATGTTTTTTAAAAGTACAGGTAGCTATGTTGCACCATAAGAAATCCCAAAATCTGTATTGGAGCGACATTTTTATTAGACCAAGCAAAATACCATAAAAGAGTGTGCTGGCTTTTGGCTTCTCCAGAACTTGTCCTCAGGCTGACTGGTAAATGTGTTATGTGCCCTGAGTGCTTGTGTTTGGGAGGTGGGGAAACAGCATTTTCTGGGTGGGGTTGCACTCCCTTGAAAGGAGCAGCCCACAGGTTGGGCTGTGGTCCTGGATTCAGCATTCTCACTGGAGGCTCTGGTTGCCTCAGTGGCCACGAGTGTCCTTTTCCAGCTCCAGCTGGTTCACCAGCTATGGCCTCCTTTGGACAGAAGTGACTTGGCCTCTGTGCTCCATGCTCTGGTAACTTCCAGGTTGGATTATTGCAGTGCCCTCTATGTGGGGCTGTCACTGAACTCGGAAACTTGAATTGATTCAAAACGCAACTGCTGATGTTCCATTTAGATTGCATATAAACCCTGTTTTAAAACAGCTGTATTGGTTGTCTCTCTTTTATCAGGGTTTCAGTTAATCGGTTTAAGGAATTATTGGATTCGATACTATACAAAATGTGTGAATGGATTAAGTCATAAACTAGACTTTTTCTGCCTGTGTTTTCTCAGTTCAGTATTGACTTAAATTTTATACTTTACATTAAAAATATTATTTATTGCTTATCATTATTGTCTGCCACCCTTCACTCTAAGGTCCCAGGATGGGTTACAACATTAAAACACAATATTAAAAACACATGAGCCTACGATTTTTATCTGCCTTGGTAAACCCCCGCCCCCCAAAAAACCACCCATGTTGCTGGCAAGCTGTGCTGCCCTCACAAGCTTTGTAAGCGTTGGCCTGTAGAGCTTTCAGTTTGTGTCTGGGAAATCTAAGGTTGGGTCTCTGTCCATTCGTAAAGCTTTCTTGGCAGCCTTGGCAAGCTACTATTTCCACTTAGCTTACCACATAAGGGTGTTGCACAGGTAAAATGGGAACTTCAGTGTAATGTAAGCCACCCTGACCTTCATAGAGGAGGAGCAGGCTAAAAATATGCAGGTTCATTAGATTTAAAATCTGTCTTCATTGGGGAAAGTAACCATTGATGGGAATAACATTATTGAATTACAGACCTCCATTAAAGTGGTGTGCCTCGGAAAGTCTCTGGATAGATTGCATCTTTAAATTGCACTGTCATTGTCAGTCTTTCTACTGTGAAAAATATCACATTTTTGTGCTAACAGTAGATTTACCCTACCCCATATGTTTCATTCTTGGCTATTTGTGGGGTGTTCAGGAGTGCCTCCCTTTTGGACCAGCTTGGTTATAGTCAAACCCAAATAGAGCTCTACCCTTGTTACCCCTTAGGGTGGGGAGGTGAAGGAGATTTCAGAGAAGTTGTTGACTTAATTCTTTGCCTTTACCGTGAAATATTTGGGAAAGATACCTGTTTCAATTAAGCTGACTAGTGCTGTTCCACTTGTTCATTAATCATCAGAAGTTTGGGTTGAGTGGTAAAGTTGTCAAGTTTTCAGGTTTTTCTGGATAATGAAATCTCTCTAACTGGGGAGCTGACCAACAGAATGGCAATTTAGGTTTGATAAGTAACTGGCGCGGGCGGCGCTGTGGGTTAAACCTCAGCGCCTAGGACTTGCCGATCGCATGGTCGGCGGTTCGAATCCCCGCGGCGGGGTGCGCTCCCGTTGCTCGGTCCCAGCGCCTGCCAACCTAGCAGTTCGGAGCACTCCCGGGTGCAAGTAGATAACTAGGGACCGCCTACTAGTGGGAAGGCTAAACGGCGTTTCCGTGTGCGGCTCTGGCTTGGCCAGAGCAGCGCTTCCCCACGCTGGCCACGTAACCCGGAAGTGTCTGCGGACAGCGCTGGCTCCCGGCCTCTAGAGTGAGATGAGCGCACAACCCCAGAGTCTGTCAAGACTGGCCCGTACGGGCAGGGGTACCTTTACCTTTACCTTAAGTAACTGAAACTGATGAACATTGGAGGAGAAAGAGATCTTGGAGTCATTATAGATAGCACAATGAGAATAGTAACTTTGTATGCAGCACCTGTGAAAGACTAGCGTAATTCTGTGAGAGGGATAATTAGGAAAGGGAAAAAGAGAAATAAATCACCGGTGTTGTAATGCTGTTACGCACTTTGATTATATGACCCTATTTGGAATACCACATAGGGGTGAAGCAGGGATGAAGTATCTAAGGCATAGCCCAACGTGCTGTTCTCAGAAAGGCTATTGTAGGGCTAGATAACTTGCAAAAAAGGGCAACCAAAAATATCAAAACCAAAAGCCTCCAAAAGTTTCCAAACTGTCTTCAGAAGCAGCCCCACATATAACACATGACAGTAATCCAGCTAATGTTGGGGAAGGTAACAAGTAGGTAAGCTTGTGATGTTCTGCACTTGGTCGCAATAGCCATTGGCTGGAAGTGAGAGAGTTCCACAGCTCATTCCACATACCAAATGAACTTCAGAATCTATCCTTGGGATTGCTTTTCAGACTTGAGATTTTTATAAATCATTTTGATATGACATAAATTGTCTGCTGTTTTAAAGAGAGAGAGCCCACTGAATGTGTCTAAGCCCTTGGTCCATGTCAAAGTAGCTTTCTGCCTTCTGGTTATAACCCAAGTAGAAACTGATTCCAGATGTAGTCTACAAAATAACTAAATGGGGGAGACCTTGCGGGAAGAAACGTACCTGGTGGAAAGCTGAATTTTCCTCTTTTCTCCCCCAGCTGCATTTATAGATATGCTAGGCAAATCTCAAGATTCCGTTTGCCCCCCAAAATATAAAAATATCGATGTTAAAAATTTAATCTCCAGCTTTCATGTTCTGCTACTAGGGATAAAAATGTGAAGGTTTTGAAGTATTGCTACATTTCATTTTCTGCTTAAGCGAACTATCGCAAAGAGGCCTTTGCCTTTGCGTATGCTAAGCACAGGAAACCAACTGGTAACATCTTTCCGCTTAGTATAAAAACAAAGTATGGTTAACTTTTTGGATCTTCTTTGTAAACAGTGCTTTGTTCAAATTTTGCTTGCCGGATTGCAAAGATCAAAAACTATAAAATGCTCTCAGAGGCTATTTTCCATCAGAAGCATTTGACCTGAAAACAAATGACACATTCTTTTATCTTTAGCAGCCAAGCAGAATAAATTTCCCAGTAGCTTCCCCCCGCCCATCCTCAGTTATATTTGCATAGTATCATCATGGCCCATTGTTTCTTTTTTTAAACTAGATTCCTGTTTTGCAGATAGAACCCAGACTCTATTCAGTCATCACGACAGACCGTGGTGCTGGCAAAACGAAATCAGAAAGTTCAAAACTATGGTGAATTGCGGTTTGCAAACCATTTGTGGTTTGCTGTGATGTCCAGATTGGCAAACCATATTTACACCTGCTGTTCTACCTCCAGAAAATAATTTGCTATGACCCAAGTGCTGAGAGGATGGAATACAAAAGCAGATGAACTGGTCTGGACCATACATTGCCTGTTATTTGCATTGCAAGCTCATCCTACTGCTTTCTGGCTTGTCTGAATTGAGCCTCAGGTTCTGCTTGTGTGGGCACAACTATTCGCCTCTAGAATTTGTCAATAACTTTGCTATTGTAGGAATTATGCAGCCTTTAAATATCAGAGGCAAGTCTTTTTATTTACTTATTACATAAAAATTATATACTGCAGGATTGTAAAATACCTAAAAGCCATTTACAAAAATATAAAAACTTTTTGAAAGTTACTGAAGTGTGTTCATGATTGCATTTTTATCTCTGACTTGCATTTACAGTACTTTTTGTGTTATAAAATGAGGGTTTTTTTACTCAAAATTTAAGTTAAACATGGGGGGTGGTCTTATACATGGGTAGTGCAGAGGGGGGACGGGCGATTGGTTGCAGCCGTGAACAGGATCTTGTGATTGGGTGGGTGAATGATGTCTGCTGTAAGGGCTGCTTTGTCAGTTGGGTGAGTTATTTGCAGTTAGTTGCGGATGTGTAAAGGGCTGCTTTGGATTGGCTGCCGTGGCTTGCAATTGTTAGCGTCTCAGTTGAGTGAGAGATTTTCGGCATTCACACCCAACTGGGCACTCCCCCCCAGAAAACAACTCTTGTCAATCCTCCCCGAAAAAAGCTCAACAGCTTTGGGCAATCTCCCCTCCCCCAAAAGCTCGACAACTCTGTGCCATCTCCCCCCATTTTCTTTAAATCAGGGACTGTGATCTACTCACAGAATGAAAAACTGGCAGTGATCTACCCCCCTTGAAATCGTGCGCAGATAAAGGAAAGAGGGAGGGGGTGGAGCCGAATGCTCCTTTTGCACCTGCGGACGAAAATGAGCCCGCGACTGACTTCTAACAACCGCGGGTCGGCCTGTCGATTGTGGTTGACCTGTTGGACTCCCCTGCTTTAAATTTAGTCCCCCAAAATAGGGGGCGTCTTATAAACGGGGGCGTGTTACACATGGAAACGTACGTTAGTTTGGCTACAGTATTTAATTACCTTCTGCCTCCCCTCCCCCACACTCTCCAAGGCCATGCAAGTGAAGTTCCTGTGAAGTTCCCATGAAACCTGACTGCAGTTTGTGGAAGTTCAATCCAGGAGCCACCTTCACGGTTTATAGGCAGCTCCTATTGCACTTTGAACTTAATTGTGGCTTACATAAAGATGTCACAGATCACCAGTGAATCTTAGCAATACAATATAAGATTTAGTAGATCCCGAGTAAATATCATTAGGGATTTGACTGTTGTGTGCATGAGGATAGTGCTAAAAGCAGATTGTTTACAGTGGACCAAAAGGTCTAAAGGGTTTCCCCTTCTGAAAGCATCAGGTGATACTGTTCCGTATAAGCTGTGCCAGTTGCAAACGTCACTTATGATGTACTCCGTATTAAGTGGAAATACTTGCAAGTGTATTGCCAGAAGGGAATGCGCAACAAGGACATGGTGTCCGTCTTGAGTTTGGCAAGACAACAGCTTCATTTGTAAGTGAGAATATTTGGCAGATGTATTTGTATGCTAAGAGGACTTCAAATTTCACTCCTGTAGGGAGTCTCCTGTGATTCTGCCAATGCAGAAACTACAAGGGCTCAGAATACCTTTTAGTAGCAGTGAGAGTCTAAGCTTCACTTTCCTGCCCCTTTGAGGGTTGCCAACTGAAAAAAACATTTGTATGAATTTCTTTGCCAGGAACACCATGTCAAACCATGTCTTAGTGCAAACTAGGAAATGTGCAGGCTCCTGAGCAGGAGATTGTGGCAGCTTTGCTCCTACAATCATTTTGCTGCTGTGCTATGTTAAGCCACAAGCCCTGGTTTGGACGACACACTAAGACGAACCATAGCAGCGTGCCTAAGGGCAGCTCTTACCCTTTTCTGTGGCTTTAGAGGCAGGTCTACATGGCGGGTGGGTGGGGAAGGAACTGGATGGGGTGAGAGAGCCTAAGGGGGTTGTTGCCGTGACTTTCAAATCTCGCAGAATGAAGCTGTGATAACCCCAGAGTCTTGTCCTCTGCTAGCTGCAATGAACTGGTTGACTAGGTGGACTCTGGGGAAGTGGTGCAGCAGCCTGGAGGCTCTCAGGAAGCCGCAATAGGCCTCCCCAGAGTAGTCCTATTTGGCTCCTAGGTGACTGGCAGTTAGAAACAAGCAGTGCTTTCATTCCCAGATCAGTCCTCACAATTCTGCTGCCCACCCCATACACCCTTGGACATGATGCCTGTTCTCTTGCATGAGGAAAGGACAGCGGACAAACCCTTATTCAGGACAGGGTAATAATAATAATAATAATAATAAATTATTATTTATACGCTGCCCATCTGGCTGGGTTTCCCCAGCCACTCTGGGCGGCTTCCAACAAAATATTAAAATACAGTAGTCCATACATTAAAAGCTTCCCTAAACAGGGCTGTCTTCAAATGTATTCTAAAAGTCTGGTACTTACTGTTCTCTTTGACATCTGGTGGGGGGGGCGTTCTACAGGGCGGGTGCCACTACCGAGAAGGCCCTCTGCCTGGTTCCCTGTAACTTGGCTTCTCGCAGGGAGGGAACCACCAGAAGGCTCTCGGAGCTGGACCTCAGTGTCAGGGTATATCCTTCAGGTATACTGGGCCTAGGCCGTTTAGGGCTTTAAAGGTCAGCACCAACACTTTGAATTGTGCTCGGAAATGTACTGGGACCCAGTGTAGGTCTTCAAGATCTGTGTTATGTGGTCTCGGCGGCCGCCCCCAGTCACCAGTCTAGCTGCCGCATTCTGGATTAGTTGTAGTTTCCGGGTCACCTTCAAAGGTAGCCCCACGTAGAGCACATTGCAGTAGTCCAAGCGAGAGATAACCAGAGCATGCACCACTCTGGCGAGACAGTCTGCGGGCAGGTAGGGTCTCCGCCTGCGTACCCGGTGGAGCTGGTAAATAAGCAGCTATCTTATCTTTAAAAGACATCTGAAAGCAGCCCTGTTTAGGGAAGTTTTTAATAGTTAATGCTGTATTGTTTTTAACACTTGATTGGGAGGTGCCCAGAGTGTCTGGGAAAACTCAGCCAGATGGGCAGGGTATAAATAATAAATAATAAATTATTATTATTATTATTATTATTATTATTATTATAAAAAAGGCAGTGTTGGCTCTATGGAACAGCCTTGATTTTTAAGATCTTTCTTACAGACTGTGCTCTAGGCTTTGTCTTATATGAAAAATATGCGGCTGGTTACAAATAAGGCGAGCAACACTTCAACATTCCTAGCTAGCTCAGTTGTTCATCTGAATGTAACTGTTAGATGATGATGATGATGATGATGATGATGATTTTACAAAATAACAGAACTCTGGTAAGTATGATGAGTTCTAGGTGTGTAAGGGAATTGGATTTGGTCCTCAATAGAAAACACAAATAAAATAGTATTAGGAAAGGTGATTATGGTACTTTAAGTTGGATTTCTTAGATAAGAAAATGCCTACCTTTTTAACACATCAAGTGCAGCAAGATTGCTTATAGCTAAAAATTGGAATTCTCTCAAATCTTGACTCCTTGGTACATACCTGAATGTATTTAGGGAATATTTCACTGCATTCAGAATCATGGTCATTTAATAGTATTTGATTGCTTGTGATTGGCATTACAAACTGATTTTCAGTACAAGTTTCATTTTTGTAATTAACCTAAGAATGGTTGTCACGTTTCTAGGAACAGAAAAACAATTGGCGTCCATTTTAAATAAGAGGTTGGATTTGTTGCCGTAGATGTGTTTATATAAATGTTTCTGTCTCTCTTTTTAGGTTGGAAACTATAAGCGGACAGTGAAACGCATTGATGATGGGCATAGACTTTGCAGTGATCTGATGAACTGCATTCATGAGCGTGCAAGGATAGAAAAGGGCTATGCACAGCAGCTCACTGAATGGGCGAAAAGGTGGAGACAACTTGTAGAAAAGGGTAAAGGGAACTTTTGTCTATTTTGCGTGTTTATGTTTTCTGTATCGATGGCAGTGTGCAAGTCCACTTAATTACTTAGAAGATCTTAGCGGGTTAGTAGGAAGCACTGAAAAAAGTGCAGTAACCCTGGATACCATCCTTTTTCCAAAATGTTAGTGAGTAGCTGTTTGCCCAGATTTCAAAATCTACCCAATTTTTTTTTAACACAAGTGATTTGGTAATTTACTTGAGTCTAGCAATCCTTAATTAAATTAGCCCTCTATTTAAAAAAGGTGAAATAATAGAACCCAACAAGTTATGAAAAACACAAATATAGGTCCTGGAGTTGATTTCTAAGAAGGTTTAAGAGAAAAAAATAGAGTGAATGCAGGTTCAGTCGTAATGGGTACCTAAAAATATATACCTATCCTTGGACCAAAGGGCTCCCTGATTCAGGGATTGATAATTAAAGAATATTTAAGTTTATCTGACCAGTCTTATGGTGTTGCTGCTTAATGCCAGGTTGGTGTTCTAGGATTTGTCATATAGGGTTTGATCCTGATTGAAAGAACTGACCTAGCCTGCGTTACTGAAATCTTGGTGGGTGATCTAGAAGGCATTGACCATCCTCCTGCCTTTCAGCCTCTTTGCATGGTCTCAGATGGTGTGTTAAGGACCCCCTGGCTTATTCTGGGGAACCACAGTAGACACACTAGGTGTTGTCAGGCCTCTGTATGCTCACAGTAAACCATTAACTGCTTTATTGTGAAGTGAATGTAGTCACTATAGTCCAGGCTTCCTCAGCCTCGGCCCTCCAGATGTTTTTGGCCTACAACTCCCATAATCCCTAGCTAGCAGGACCAGTGTTCAGGGATGGTGGGAATTGTAGTCTCAAAGCATTTGGAGGGCCGAGGTTGAGGAAGCCTGCTATAGTCCTCCCTTAAAAACTCAGGATAGTGTGAGAAAAATGACTTCATTTGCTGCTTTTTCCCCATCTTTGTGATCAGGGCCCCAGTATGGTACCGTTGAAAAGGCTTGGCATGCGTTTATGTCTGAGGCCGAAAAGGTGAGTGAACTACACATAGAAGTAAAAAGTGCCCTAATGAATGAAGACTTCGAAAAGATAAAGAACTGGCAGAAGGAGGCATTTCACAAGCAAATAATGGGTGGATTTAAGGAAACCAAAGAAGCTGAAGATGGATTTAGGAAAGCTCAGAAACCATGGGCCAAAAAGCTAAAAGAGGTAAGTGATTGTTATGTACTGGGTGTTCCTTGCAACTTTGTCCACTATTCCACCTCTCCGTGCTCTTGTATCCATGCTGCATTGGGTGCTTTCACATAGAACCATAGAATTAAAGTGTTGGAAGGGACCCAAGGGTCATCTAGTCCAACCCCCTGCAATGCAGGAATCTCAGCTAAAGCATCCAGGACAGATGACCATTCAACCTGTGCTTAAAAACCTCCAGTGACGGAGAGTCTGCCACCTTCTGAGAGAGCCAACTCCACTGTTGATCATGGTCAACAGGTCCTTGCTTTCTGGTCCTTGAAGCAGAGAGGCACAGTAGGCTGGACTGTTGATCTCTTTTTAGGAAGAACTGAATGTTGCAGAAGGACATCCTTGCATCCAGTTCTCCCGCTTCTTTCCTCTTTTCTCCTGCCCATAGTGTGCTGTTTCTTGATTGGAGAATGCAGCAGGGCCCTGTGCCTTCCTCAAGAATCTCTTCTTTCCTCCTGGTGAGAGCAAAAGTCAGTAATGGAGTAATGTTGCAGCAGTTGGCTCCACTGCTATTTTTCCCACTCTCTAGGAAAATTGTGGCCAATGCTCATTTCCCTCTGGTCTTAAAGCCACAGAGAGCCAAACATGTGCTTAAGTCCTTGACTACACGTTTTTGTTGTATCTGTAGATTGGAAGTCTCATTTCCGTCTTGTATGAGCCAACAATTCTCCATTGTTTCTGTGCTGCGGGAATGCTTGCAGGGTAGCTGCTCACACATGCTTTCCCCCTGCAAACATATATACTGCCTTTTGGGTGTCCAGGGGCAGGGCCAGTGGCTATCTCATGATGGGGACAGGACCAGCAACAGGGCTGTGTTAACTACACAAGGACCTCTTCATGTGTGTAAGGTGTGAAAGGGTATTTATTGGCGCCTCAGTTTGGCTCACTGTACACAAAAGTACGCAGTCACTGTACTTTTCAGCAATATAATGATCAGGTTATCTAAAGATATTTTGATACCTCCTTAAGTCCTACAACAATATTTCCCCTCTCTCAAACTTTCTAATCTATGGTGGGTGCTTATAGTGATGCTGTACAAAGATGAAATTATTGTTAAAACATGTCACTTAGGTCGAAGCTGCTAAGAAAGCATATCATGTAGCCTGCAAGGAAGAAAAGCTGGCCGTATCCAGAGAGACTAATAGCAAAGCTGACCCAGCCCTGAATCCAGAACAACTGAAGAAACTGCAGGACAAAGTTGATAAAAGTAAACAGGATGTGCTTAAGGTAAACTGTGTGTTACTCTGAACACGGGACTTTACAAGCATTTATTCCAGGTGGAAAAATAGATTAGTAAATATAAGTGATCCCAGCACAAGCGTAAAAAATTGTCACCTTCTGTCTCATATTATTAGTATCCTTATTCTATTCACATTAGGGTATTTGGAGCGTACATGTGCACACTTTCACTCTCACTCTCACTTTGCTGTTCAGTTGTATGAAGTGTTCTTCTCTTCCTGTTGCATTCTAGATATGCCAGTGGCATTTTGTGTGTGTGAATGAACTATGTATTGCACCTCTGAGAGTGCTCCAACAATTCTTTGGTGAGAGAGCCCCAGCAGAGATTTGAAATCACAGAACATGCAGCAAAGGAAAGCATGGAAAGAGATAGTCTGTTAGACCTTTCAAATTCCCCCTTCTAAGTTGCTTCCAAAGTTACCCACTTCCATTAGCATAGAAAAAGACCACATGTTAAACATGGCTTACCTAAACACTCTGCAAAGAAAAGAGCAGCAAGAAAAGACATAGAAACACAAAGTTCACATGGTGGAAAGAGAATGATGATACAGGATGAAGGACTATAGATATTCAAATTTTTATTAATAATAGTACATGACGATAAACTATGCTTTATTACACAGCCAGAGACTGAAGTGAGGCAGTCAACACCCAATTGTTGTTGTTTAGTCATTTAGTCGTGTCCGACTCTTTGTGACCCCATGGACCAGAGCATGCCAGGCACTCCTGTCTTCCACTGCCTCCCGCAGTTTGGTCAGACTCATGTTTGTAGCTTCGAAGACACTATACAACCATCTCGTCCTCTGTCGTCCCCTTCTCCTTGTGCCCTCCATCTTTCCCAACATCAGGGTCTTTTCCAGGAGGTCTTCTCTTCTCATGAGGTGGCCAAAGTATTGGAGTCTCAGCTTCAGGATCTGTCCTTCCAGTGAGCACTCAGGGCTGATTTCCTTCAGAATGGAGAGGTTTGATCTTCTTGCCGTCCATGGGACTCTCAAGAGTCTTCTCCAGCACCATAATTCAAAACCTCCATTCTTCGACGATCAGCCTTCTTTATGGTCCAGCTCTCACTACTGGGAAAACCATAGCTTTTACTATACGGACCTTAACACCCAATTAGAACTGTGCTAATGGGAGACAGGTTGCCAGACTTGAGCCAGGATATCTTAGTGGCATCCACCTGTAGACCTAACCTTAGCTTAGCTCTTCCGGGTCACCTGTGAGCAACCCAGTGCAGCAAGGTTAGTCTTGCCTGTGCCATAGCCAGCTGGTCAGACCTAGTTCCCCAATTAGCTGATCTGATTTGGATTTGTTTGTTTCTTTGTCTTTAAGACGAGAGAAAAGTATGAAAAGGCTCTGAAAGACCTGGACAACGCAACACCTCAATATATGGAAAATATGGAGCAGGTTTTTGAGCAGTGTCAGCAGTTTGAGGAAAGACGTATCCGTTTCTTCCGAGAAGTGTTGTTGGAAGTTCAGAAACATCTTGACTTGTCTACTGTTCCAGGGTAAATGTGTAAGATGAAAGCCATTGCATACCAAAGTTGTCTTCTAACAGTAAATTATGCTAGCATAGCTCACTATTTAAAGAATATAGAATTGGGGTGACATAACCTATATTTACCGTATTTTTCGCACCATAGGACGCACCGGACAATAGGACGCACTTTGTTTTAGAGGGGGGAGAACAAGAAAAAAAAATTCTCCCCTCTCTGCCCAGCGCCCTTCAGCGAAGGGGCAGGAGGCGCTGGGCAGAGAGGGGGAGAACTTTCCCCCTCTTGTTTTCCCGCTCTAAAACAAGGTGCCGTTTAAGGTGCGTTCAGGCGGCTATCTTGAAGCCTGGAGAGCGAGAGGGGTCAGTGCACACCGACCCCTCTCGCTCTCCAGGCTTCAGGTTCCTCGACCTGCTCTTTGGGGCTGGCGGGGGGAAGCCCACCACCAGCCCCAAAGAGCAGTTCAGGGAGCAGCGGAAAGGCGCAGCGGAGAGGCTCTTGCCATAGCCGCCCGTCACCTCTCCAGCCGGGAGAGGGTCGCGGCCATGGCTTAGCCCGCGCTCGGCTGGGAGGTGACGGCGGCTGGCTAAGCTGGCCCCTAGCCGGAGAGCGCGGGCTCTTAGCCCTCGCTCCGGCTGGAGAGGTGACGGGCGGCTATGGCATAGCCTACAGCCAGCCCTCCCAGCTGGAGAGGTCGCGGGCGCTCAGCCGCTCCTCCAGCCGGGAGAGGGTCACGGGGGGCTGCTTTAGCCCCGCGCGCGCTCTCCCGGCTGGAGAGGTGACGCGCGGCTATAGAAGCTCCTGCCATAGCCGCCCGTCACCTCTCCAGCCGGGAGAGGGTCGCGGGGCTATGGCGTCTTCGCTCCATAGGACGCACACACATTTTCCCTTCATTTTTGAAGGGAAAAAAGTGCGTCCTATAGAGCGAAAAATACGGTAAACATTTTTCTGTTGAATTTACTGACTTCTGAGGAGGATTATAGGAGGACATGATTTTCACAAGCTAGTGATTGTGACTGGCTTCATTTTAAAAGCTACCAGTGATTTTTCTCTTTGTGTATTACTTAAAGAGATCTTAGTTGATTTGGTTAAATCTGCATAAATTTGAAGATTCAGTAAGAAAAAAAAGTCTTCTTAGGAAGCATGCACCGTCATGGGTGTAACCCTCCTTTGTGAAAGAGAAGGGGCTTCCAAAAAGGGGTCTCCCGCCTGCAGTTTTGTTAGCACTTTTTGAAACTGCTTGTTTGTTTATTAAGTAGAAAGTAACAATAAGAAAACATGATGTTGACAAGCTGGGAACAGAATGGTAAATATTAATTAATGTGATTTATTTTAGTTTAGAGCATTAACAGTACTAACAGGCTTATTCAGGAATAAATAAATAATAAAACAGAAATAAATACAATAATGATAATTGTATTAAATGCATATGCTTTGTAACATTATGATAATGGTCTACCCCAAATTTTATCCTCATAACATTCCCAAAAGAATTGTTTGTTTGTTTGTTTATTACCCCACCCTTCACCACAAGGTCCAAGAATGAGTTACAGTAGTTTATTTATAGAATATTAAGATCGGTTTTAAACAAATACAACCCAAAGGTGAATCCCCAATGTGGGAGATACAGTTGACAGAGTATTTTATTAAAATACCTTTACTAAAGTAATTAAAATAATTTAAAAAATTAAGCAGGGCAGTGTTCTAAAGGCTTTTAATAGATTAATCAGTTAGATGGTTGTAAAGATCAACTTGAGTAAGTTTATGATAATGGGAGGGTAGAGCAGGCATAGGCAAACTATCTCAACCTTGGCCCTCCAGATGTTTTGGGACTACAATTCCCATCATCCCTAGCTAACAGGACCAGTGGTCAGGGATGATGGGAACTGTAGTCCCAAAACATCTGGAGGGCCGAGTTTGCCTATGCCTGGGGTAGAGGGTATTTTCTCTAGAAAAACATCCAACTCCTCCTGCCGTCAGCCTCTTTCTGTCTTCAAGATTTGTAGTGGTGAAGTACTGGCCGCAAAACAGAATAATTCCATATAGCTTCTAACACACTTAGGCATAGCACTAATCTTTCCAGGAAGGAAAAACCAATTGTATGATAGTGTTATATACAACCTACCCTATCTCCAAAGACAGGTAGTTAAAGAAATTAAACTCTTAAATACTTATAAATACAATTGGTCACTGAAAGATGCCCTTGCTCACACCCAGCTTCAAAGCGTTTTTTCCAAATATTACTGATCAGCTGCTTATACGTCTCTAGAAAATACGTTTAACAGCTAGAACACATGACCAGATTTTTTTTTTGCTTATTATTACTTGATTAAACTATAAAGTAAACTTCTTATTTTTAGTTTTTTTCTCCCTCTCAGTTATCAGGCTAAAATGGATGCAGGTATGTTGCTAGTCTCAGTTTTATCACTGAAGTGTGCAGTGCAGTAGTGCAAGCACTGACCCAATCCCCTTGTTAGTAAAAAAAACAGCCTGTGTGTTAAACATTTGTGAAATGTTTCTCTCTGCTAGTTTGTATTTAAGTAGTAATACCAAATAGTAAGTCTGTTGGTGCTACAGTGACATGCCTAGTAGATGTGCAGATCTAAAAACAGAATTCACCTTGCCCTTGGGAAATACTCTCACAATAAAGTTTGCACAAATTTTACAGTTGATCTGGTTTGTGTTTTCCATCCAGATTGACTAATGTGGGTTGAAGCAACAAAGCTCTCTCTCTTTTAGCTGATGATGAATATGTTTAACTGCACTTAAAGGGTTAATATTTTTGTTAAAACAGTGGTATGAAAATATTCATCAGCTGTTTATAGAACTGATTAAAAAGATATTACTCCTTTTTCCTATCTACTACATGTCTGTATTGTACCGAACCTCATGCAGATGTTATAGGATAATACCTAGGCAAAACATTGTATAGCTGAAACCTTTCTGATTTGCTCATTGCAATTTCTAAATCAGCGTGTATTACTTAACAGCTATAAAAATATCTATCGTGAATTGGAGCAGAACATCAAAGCAGCAGACACTGTTGAAGATCTGAGGTGGTTTAGAGCTAATCATGGTCCAGGCATGTCCATGAACTGGCCCCAGTTTGAGGTAAGGACTTGATCTTCTGTTGCAGCCTTTTCCTGGTGGGACCACAAAATGGTGCTGCCATGCCCCCCTCAATGGGGGAAAAGGCACCTCCATCTGCCCCGGCTGCCACACACTCACAGAGGGAAGCTCTTGGTGACTCTCCTCTCTTTGGAATGGATGGGAGGAGGGTGGCTGTCATCCAGGGAGATGTGGGTATGTTGAAGGAGGCATGTTCAGTGTACGAGAGGCTACGCTAGTGCAAAGAGGAACTGAGTAAGAATAGCAATTTTGACATAATGATTACTGGACATTTGCCAGGTACCATAGGAGGGACTGGTGGGCAGAAGGCAACCGCCGTTGTAACGTTTCTGTATCCAGAATTAACCAGCAGTTTTATGGTTCAGGTTGTGACTTAGCCACTTGAGAGATTCTCCTTCGGAATCTTGATCATGTTTGGCTCATGTTCTTGTTTGGAAGAATACACTAGGAATGAAATAAGTTAAATATTATCCTCATGTTGCTGTTTTGTTTTAAAGAGGTGTGAAATCTATGTCCTTTTTAAATGGCTTCCAATACAAATGCATTACAGCATTCAGTGTAAGCTAAACCAGATCTTTTTACCAAAGACCCTATGTGAAAAAAGCATATAAGAAATCAAAGTGCTGCCATGTGCTATCAGGATAATATTAGCAAATTATTGCTGCCTTGGTAATGTTTTTTCATTGTGAGCTAGATAATATGCAAATGGCAATTTAACATTGCTTTATGCTAATTTTTAAAAAAGACTGTTGTAGGAAGGTTATGTAGTTGCAGATATTTACATTTCTGGCAGGAGAACTATGGATTTATCTTGCCTGGATTCGACCACAATTGCATTTTAGAAATTGCATTTTGAAACTATTATAATTTATTACCCACCTTTGCCCTAAGGCCCCAGGGCGGATTACAAAAGTAAACCAATGTTTAAAACATTATTTAAAATCAGCTGGATTGATAAAATACTCTTCAGTATTTCTAGTATTCTTCTTCCTGATGGAATAAAGCTGGAAAATGCATTTAAACTTAAGGCTTCAATCTTTTGCACACTTACCCAGAGTAAACTCCACTGAATACAGTCAGGCCTACTTCTGAGTAAACACTCTGAGAACTGTGCTATAAATTATACTAATATATGTTCTGTATGTATTCTGTGTTGGGTATGCAATTGTGAAGCACTATCCAAAATGGAAATTACATGTTATAGATGTGATGTTATAGCTTGTTTTCCCATCGGTTCTACTGTTCTAATTTGTTTGCATTTAAATTTTTTGCTTTAAACTGTAAGCTGGAAGCTTCTTCTTTTTTTAAATGAATGTCAGGCTTTAAAATGCTTAAAATAAAATGCTGTCCTAACAAATATTGTTTGTTTATTTTTCATGCAACAAGGAGGAAGTAAGTTTTTTCCCCAGATTTACTTACAGCTAATTCTATAACTCAGACTGCCTAAATGGTCATGAAAACATGTCAAATGACACGAGCTATTTGTACAATTTTCAGCTTTTTTGTGAATGGTTACTTCCTGTGTACGTAATTTTCCTTGCTACTTAGAAACAATTTTCAGTTAAGGAATTTTAATTTCGTCCAAGGATTTAATAAATAATTTGAATTAAGGTAGTTTGGAGGAAGCAACAGCTGTGAGATCAAATTTTTTCCAGAAGCTAGAGTTTTTGTTGAGAAAGTAAAACAAAAAGCTAGGTTAGCTCATATTTAATTATATACTGCCTTTCTGCCAAGGCACCCAGAAAAAGTGTCCCAGAGTGGGGAGGTGTGGAGAGGGATGAAAAATAAGGCAGCATTGATTCAGAGAAGGCTGCATAGTGGAGCTTTGGCATTTAGTGTGAGGAAAGAGGGACGCGCAGCGGTAGAAGCTGGAAAGCTGCAAGCCCTTTTGAGCGGGGTTTACCATTGCAAAGTGCTGCACAGACACACTGATGATCAGAAAACTGGGTTAGATCTTCGCTTCCTTCTGCTCTATCTGAAACAGAGAATTACTACTGTCAGGATAAGATCCAAGAGGTTGAAAGGGAAGACTTTCCTTGACCACAGTGAGGCTTTACTGAGTGTAGGGATGCAGAAAATCCACCCAAAGCTGGAAGTCAAGTCAGACTATATTTATCCCAGCCAAACCCTCTGAAATTGCTTAAAATTCAGAGGTACAAAAATGGGCTGGGAATTTGAAAAGCTGATTGAGCAGAGTGCCTCCTCGCAAGGCAGCCCTGGATTCATCTGATTTCAGGCATTTAACGTCAGTTATAGTTTAGGAAACAAGGGCTCTCCAAAGAGTGAAGTAGTCCTGAAATGACCGTTTCCAGGTGAACCTTAACAGAAGGATTTCCTTAAGGTGGTTTATTATGCTACAGTGCTACTTGTAAGGACTCTTAAACTTTACTCTCCATAGCCAATTGGGCAGCAATACAGTGTTGCCTTGACTGAACTGAATATTAAGTTTTAGCAATTCCAGGGATTCCCAAGCCACAGTATGGAGTGGGACATTGCAATGCTTGTGTCAGCGGGAACATGGGGCAAAGGCATTTTGTCCTTGTTTTCTAGATTTTGCCAGTTTATGTTCCCTGACAATGAATATCTCCAGGCTAAGTTTGACAGGGTGCTTTTTGTTGTTCTTTTTATACCACCCTTCTTCACCCAAAGATCACAGGGTGGTTAACAATATAAAACCTCAAAAATACATACCATAATAACAAGCAAAAGCAATAACCCCCTCAGTTATTATTAGCTATAATACAGGTATGAATGACTTAAGACTAGAATCAGGGTTAAGACACACAAAGGGCATTGTCCCTTTGACCCAAGAATGGGGGTTGGTCTCTGGAAATAAGCTGATGCAAAACGCCTTTTCTCACTTACATTTTCTAGGACTGGTCAGCTGATCTGAATCGCACTCTTAGTAGAAGAGAGAAGAAGAAAGCTGCAGATGGGGTAACTCTGACGGGTATTAGCCAGACAGAACCAGTTCCACAGCACAACAAAAACAGCAGGTACATGATCATGAGCCCATTATCTTTTAGCACTAATTGCTAAGTATCAAATGGTCGTACTTTGGATTATACTGGAAATATGTAGTTTTGGAAAATTAGGCTTTATTCAGACCTATTTCCCCATAAGGAGCGATTGGGAGTAGGCTTGAGCTGACATGTTTATTCCTGGGCCCCTCTCCTGCTCCTTTACTATGTGAAGAAGTGAATGACTGACTGAACTGGGAGCTGTTGCAGTAGATTGAATATGGGATTTTTATTGACCCTGGAAGGTTGATATTTTGAAAACATCTCTAACTTCCCAGAGCCAGGAAGTCACCACATTCTGGAAAACATGCTTTTTCTGATTTGTTTGAAACGTGGGTAGGAGAGCCAGAACCCTACTCTCAGTCTCTTGCTAAAGTTGGGTTGGAGTTAATGTCCCATCAGAACTGTAGAGAAGTAGGCATACATTCATTTAAAATCTAAGTAAATAAATAAATAGGACTTGTTTTGGCAGTCAGTTTGTCAACCAAACTAAACAGCGGAGTCTTAAAATTTTTGATTAGATTCCAGAATAAGGCAAATAAGTAGTAATCTGTGGAAAAGAACAGACTTGCAACAAATCGATTCAACATTTGGCCTTGTTGAAAACAGATGGAGGTAAGTTTTATATTGAGTCAGAGCAGTATCTAGCAGGAAGTTGTATGCCCTGACAAAATACATTCCCACGCTCAAAAACTGGGTCCTCCTTCTATGCTTCCTAACTACAGGTCTGTTTAATTGGAGATCCTAGTATCGCAATGCATATAGTTTACAAAGCTCTAATCCAGGGATAGAGAACCTCAGGCCTGGGGCCCCTCTGGCCCTCAGGATGCCCCCCAGGCCACATCCCGTACTAGCTGTGCTTTGTGCCCAACTTGGATGTTCTGGCCTGCCTGACATGTGCCATTGAAGGCCATTAATGCCTCTTGCTTGCCTTGGATGGACAAGGTGAATGTGGAAACCTTTACTCTGGTATGGCTGGAATGTAACCTACTGTACAAAGGTAAGCGTTATATGCATTGCCTGTGGGTCCTGGAAGGTAGTCCATGAAGAAACTGAACACTGGTGTTGAAACAAGCTCCCCACCACTTCTATAGTCTCCCTAGTGCCTATACAGAAGACTTGCTATGAGAAATTTGGCGTTGGTCATTCACTTGTGAAATTGTTTAGAACTAGGTATAGCTGCAGAATAACACAAGCTTTAAAGAACTTTTAGTACAGCTTTGAAAGGTAGCATCTGTTACTGGGATTTGTTGTTCTGGGATTTTTGTAGTTAAAGTTTGACCAGCTGAGGTAATAGATAAGGAATAGTGAATCTTTTTTTTTTTTTTAGCTCAAGGGTTGTGTTTCTTCATAAGCAGTCTTCATGGGGTGGGGGTGGGCATGTGGCACTCTAGGCTATGTTGCAGTTACACATCAGGTTTCTGCAGACAAAACTCTCCACCCAGAGGGTTTAGCACATTTCAAGGGCACATTCCGGCCACGCAAAAGCTCTCAAGGAGGCCTAGAGCTGAGCTGGTGGTGAGGGATGTGAAATGGGGAAAGGGCAAGGTAAAAGGGCCCAGAGTGCCACCTCAGAGTTTTCCGTTCCAATAATGTTTTATGTCTGCTCCATACCTCATACACTGATTTTCTAATAGTATGATTCAAAAACCCTCTGTGCATTCTGACCTTATCATACCACGGGTAGGCGTGCCACCCGAATCTGTTGTCAAATCCCTCCAAATCCAATATATCTGAATTATCTAAGGTTATCCATTCCCTCAACCAACAAAAACATGCCGCCTCGTAGTAAATTTTTAGATCTGGCAGGGAAAAACCACCTCTTTCTTTTGCACCTGTCAATATTTTATACTTAATTCTTGGCTTTTTTCCCTGCCAGATAAATTTGGACAATCTTCTTTGCCATATGTTATATTGTTTTGTTCCACTGATAACCGGAATTGTCTGAAATAAAAACAACAGTCTCGGTAACACGTTCATTTTGATAGCTGAGATTCTTCCCATCGTTGATAATTTCATTCTAGTCTATATCTCCAGATCTCTCTTCACTTCATTCCACACCTTTTCATAGTTGTCTTTAAAGAGGTTTATGCTCTTAGATGTGAGCCAGACTCCTAGGTATTTTAACTTTTTTTCTATCGACATACCTGTCTTTTGTTGTAGTTCTCCTATTTCTTTACTGTTCAAATTTTTAGTTAATATTTTTGTCTTATTTTTGTTGAGCTTAAAGCCTGCTAATTGCCCATACTCTTCAATCTTTTTCAAAGCTTCTATTGCACTGGACATAGGTTGTTCTAAAGTCAAAACAATGTCATCAGCAAAGGCCTTATACTTAAATTCTTTTGAGGCTATACCAATCCCTTTTATTTCTTTTGTTGCTTCTATTTTCTTCAACAGGACCTCTAGTATTGTTATAAATAACAATGGCGATAGCGGGCACCCCTGTCTGGTTCCCTTTGTTTTCTCAATTTTGTCTGTAAGGTTATTATTAATTATCAATTTAGCATATTATTCCGAATAAATAGCCTGAATACTATTTAAAAAATTTTCACCGATATCCATAAATTCTAAATTTCTTTTCATAAAATGCCAAGACACATTATCAAATGCTTTTTCAGCGTCCAGAAACATTAGGGCGTCTTGTTTGTCTCTCCTGGAGTCCAGATATTTCGTTATATCAATTATATTTCTAACATTGTCCTTCATCTGTCTACCAGATAGAAATCCAGTTTGGTTCTTTCCAATCTCCTCTCCCAATACATCTTTAAGTCTATTTGCCAATATACTGACGAATAATTTGTAATCATTATTTAGGAGTGAGATTGGCTTATAATTTTTCACCTGCCTTAAGTCCGTGTCTTGTTTGGGAATTAGCGTAATATGGGCTTCTTTCCAAGTCTCTGGAATTTTGTTCCCCATTAAAATGTTATTCATTACCTCCATTAACGGAACTGACAGTTGTTCCACGCATTTCTTATAGTATTTGGCTGTCAAGCCATCGGGTCCTGGTGCCTTTCCTATTATTGCTTGTTTTATTGCTACTTTTATTTCATCCACAGTAATAATGAAATTGAGTTGGTTCTTTTTGTCATTGGGAATTTTCCGCAACCTGTTCTTTTTCAGAAATTCTTCTATTTTTTCCTCATCTTTTTCTTTTTTATATAATTGTTTATAGAATCTTTGAAAATTCTTCCTTATTTCTCCTGGATTTTCTATTGTTTTCCCTTCCACTATTAGTTTTGTTATCGTATTCTGCTTTTGTCTCTTCTTTAGTTGCCAGGCTAACAATTTTCCTGGTTTATTTGTGAACTCAAAGCTTCTCTGGTTTAAAAATTTAACTTTCCATTCGATCTCTTGATTTATCAATATTGAGAATTGTGTCTGCAACATTTTTATGTTTTGTTTAGCTTGGCTATTTTTTCGATTAGTTGCTAATTTCTTTTCATTACATATTATCTGTTTTAACAACTCTTCTTTTTTCTTCTCTCTCATTCTCTTTTGAATTGTGTTCTGCTGTATCCAAAATCCTCTTATTACAGCCTTTGAGGCATCCCATACCACATTAATGTCCACTCCTTTATTTAAATTAAACTCAGAATAATCTTTCAGTGTCTTTTGTGCTTTTTCCAATATTATCTGGTTATCTAGCAACCCCTTGTTAAATCTCCACCTAAATGAAGTCTCCTCCTTAACTTTCAACTCCAGTGTTGTTTCATTGTAATCTGACATAGTTTTCGGAAGAATTTCAGATTTTATTATTCTCGTTGCCAAATCTCTGGAAGCCCATATATAATCAATCCGACCAGCACTTTAATTTGGTTCTCAAGTGGGTGTTTTAATCTCCATGTGTCTATTAAATCATTATTTTCCACCAAAGTGAAAAATGTTTTGGGCAGTTTCCCTTGATTCGTTACCTTTTCCCTTTCCGTTCTATCCATCCCTGGGGAAACTACCCCATTAAAGTCTCCCATTATTATTATTTTTTGGTCCATAAAATCAAACAGCTTCTCCTCTAGTTCTTTGTAAAAGTTCACTTTTTTGTCATTCGGTACATAGATTCCCACCATAATTAAATTTTCCCGTTGTGCTACCATTTCCACTGCTATTATCCTTCCATTATCATCCTTAAAAATCTGACGAGATTCATATTTTTCCTTTATATATAAGGCCACCCCTCTTTTTTTACTGTCATCTGCTGAAATATATTCCTTCCCTAGTCTTTTATTTTTAAGAATTATTTCATGTTTTTTTTGCCACATGTGTTTCCTGTATACAAATTACCGTATTTTTCGCTCTATAAGACGCACCAGACCATAAGACGCACCTAGTTTTTGGAGGAGGAAAACAAGAAAAAAATATTCTGAATCTCAGAAGCCAGAACAACAAGAGGGATCACTGTTTTCTTCACCATCTCCTCCAGGGCTTGGGTCTTTATCCTTACCTCTCCCAGTTGGCCTTTTAATTCTGCCACTGATTTATCAATTTTTCCATCCATTTTATCAAATTTACTATCCAAGATTTTTTCAGTATCTTTAATATCTTTCCGAATATCTGCCAGTATCTCTGTAATGTCTATTCTGGGCTCTTCCTGTTTTGAATTCCTCCTATCTGTTCTCTTCAGCTGCCCATTCAGCCTAATCCAATTCTTAAAGTCACAACCACCAATAAAAAAATAGTCCTCAGGATCCAAAATTATTAAAGAACCCCCCTCTTCGGTCTCTTCAATGACCTAATCATCAGTAATGATATCAGAGTACATCAGCAGATCTCAGTTCCCTCAGATTTAAAGCCGCATCTCCCAGTGCGTCAGGATCAAGCAACAAATATTGCACGTCCAATGCTTCTGAGTGTCTTTATATAGCTATTTCCCCCCTTCCCCAAAGGGCTGACGGGGGTTAGCTATTATAGCCACTTGTCTCCGTTTGTAGCTAAAGCACTGATATACTTTCAATATTGTAGTAGAAAACTTACTGCGCCATTTTCTCGTCTGCAGTGAGACGGACTCCCTTCTTTTGCCAAATAAGTCCAAATTTTCTCCACTTGCCTTCGGATTATCTTTTAATGTCGGGAAATCAGCTGCCTTTGCCATCGGAACTAGAGGCTTCACTCAGCAGAAGTAGCAAGTAGACCCCCTTGCACCCGCGCCTCCATCCCCTCGGGTTTCCAAACCTTTTTACGGGTCCGTCTGCCTTTGGGGAGATACGCCAGGGGTGCCGCTGGGTCCGCAGCACCCAAAACTCCCTTTTGGGTTTTTTACCGGAGCTCACAGTGCCCTTGTGAAGCTCCAATCTTCTGCTAAGCTCGGATTTTCCCCAAGAGGCTAAATCCGCGTCCGAAATGGCCCCTGCAGCCAACAGGAAGTCAGGACATTCATAAGTTTTATTTTTCATTCTACTTCCTGATTCACCAACATAGAAAATTGTGTGTGTAACGTTTTGATAGTTTGTTTTATTTGTTCATCTTTTGGTTTTAATGTTAATTTTTTTCTCATTTTCCACAAGTTGGGCTTGTCTGATTGGTAAATGACTTCAGAATGTAAACATGCATTGTAACCTGTAAAATGGTATTAATTGCTGTACTTTTTAGAGTCCTTGCTATCAAGACTGATTTGGAGCGCACTGCCCACATTGTGCACTCCATACTTCCCTGGCTAGCGCTAACTACGATTTGATGTGAATCAGAATCAATGTATCCATTCTTATTGCTAAGCATTATATGCTCAGAAACCAGCTTGAAACTGGGATCCTAGGCTGGCTTCTATAGTGGCAGGTCAGACACTTGTGACACTGAATCTGAAGTGTCTCTGTAGCGAAATAAAATGGAAATGGCTTTGGCAGAAGGGGAGACGTGTTTCCGTTTTAAGTAAGTGTTGGGAAGGTAAGCCATCCAAAGAGAAGGATGTGCATGGCTCTGTTCTTAATTGCATGTATATTGATTGACTCTGTGAAATGGCAGGGTCACCTTCATGATTTTTCTCTCCCAAATAGCAGTGTTAGTGTTCCGGGTGACACAGTGCAGTCAGTTCAGTCAAGTTACAATCCCTTTGAAGATGAAGAGGATACTGGAAGTACTGTCAGTGAAAAGGAGGACAATAAAATCAAAAAGTTGGTGAAAGACGGTTTTCAAACTGTTTTTTATACTTACACTTTTCCTATCCAGGGTTTCCAACTCCGGGTTTCTACAAAAGCCTTATGTTGCACAATGCATGAAGTCCTTGTTGAACGGTTATTTTGTTGCAAACCCGACCAACTAACCTCCCAATGCTCTGTCACTGTTTTGTTTTCTGGTTGGTTTTCCTTCACTGGTTCCACAAATATTAACTGCGGTCATGTGCTTTGAAACTACTGCTGGATCTTTGCTACTGGCTGTGCTCACTAGGTGTTCCCCCCTCCCCTTTCTCACCGTTTCATGTTTTTTCCTCAAATGAACATGTTGGCCTTGATGTTTCTCTTGGTGGTCCATAACCTCTGTGTTCACTCTTATTGTCTCTAAGGGCACTGTGATGTGAAAAGAGGCGAAGCACAGCATTGCTAAGCAGGTGCCCAGAAGTAGCCTGGCAGGGGGTGGGATATCTAGAATTGATATCCCACCTCCTGCCAAGCTACTTGTATCAGGGAAGCTAACATAATTTTTCCGTGTGTTTAGTGTTAGCAGCTCGGAGAAAAACCAAAGTTACTCTGCGGACTGGTCCGATGAGGAGACCAACAATCCTTTTTCATCCAATGATGCTCCAGCAGAAACAAATCCATTTGATGAGGATACATCCCCTACGATGGAAGTTAGAGTACGGGCATTGTATGACTATGAAGGTCAAGAGCTTGACGAACTAAGTTTCAAGACTGGTAAATACCCTTTACTTTTTTCCCCTGCCCTAAAAAGATGCAAGGCAGGATTGGCCCAAAACATTTTGCTGCCTGAAACAGAAGAGCAAATGGCAAAGGTACATAAGTGTCAATGCCAGCCACAAGCATCTCTAAGACCATAAGAGCCTGGCTGCAGGATCAGACCAAGGACCCATCCAGTCCAGCATTCTGTTCTCACAGTGGCCAATCAGATGCCTAAGGAGCGCCTGCAAGCAGGACCGGCAGGCAGCCTCCCTCACCACTTGGGATATTGCCTCTGACAGGGAAGGGACAATGTTAGCCTTGGTATCCTTTACCCTCATGAATTGGGCTGATCGCCAACTTAAACCCATCCAAGTTTGTGGACAACACTACAATTTGTGGAACCAAATTCCCTAGTTTTTGTGGTGTGAAGAAATAGTCCATTTTGAATCTCCCACCCTTCTGCTTCATGGAATGACCGCAAGTTCTAGTAGTATAAGAAAGAGAAAGAAAACTTTCTCCACCCCATACATACCATATTTTTCGCCCTATAGGACGCACTTTTTCCCTTCCAAAAATGAAGGGGAAATGTGTGTGCGTCCTATGGGGCGAATACAGGCTTTCGCTGACGCCTGGGTGCGCACCGACCCCTCTCACTCTCCAGGCTTCAGGAAGCTATCCACAAGCCTTGCAAGCCCAGCGGGAGGTCCCGCGGGCTCGCAAGGCTTGCGGGCAGCAGCCTGCAGCCCACAAGCTCAGGGGACAGCGGGGAGCCGCAGCGCCGCCACCCCGCTATTCCCGGACCTGATCTGGAGGCTGGCGGGGGGAGGGGGGCGAGAAGCAAGCTTGCTTCTCCCCATCGCCAGCCCCACAAGCTCGGGGGATAGCGGGGCAAGCCGCTGCCCCGCGGAGGCTAGAGAGGCTGTCCCTGAAGGCAGAAGAGCTTGGGGATGGCTGCGCAAACCTGGGGGGGGGGAAATAAATTTTCCCCCCTTGATTTCCCCCCCCCAAAGAAACTAGGTGCGTCCTATGGGCCGGTGCGTCGTATAGGGTGAAAAATATGGTAATCTGATATACAGTGGTACCTCGGGTTACAGACGCTTCAGGTTACAGACTCTGCTAACCCAGAAAGAGTACCCCGGATTAAGAACTTTGCTTCAGGATGAGAACAGAAATCGGGCGGTGGAGCGGGAGGCCCCATTAGCTAAAGTGGTGTTTCAGGTTAAGAACAGTTTCAGGTTAAGAACGGACCTCCGGACCGAATTAAGTTCTTAACCCAAGGTACCACTGTACCCCTATCATGTCCTTCATTACTCGTCCTTTCCCTAACACAAAGCTCCCAAATTTTTTAAGCTTTCCTTACAAGGGATCATTTTGGTTGCCCATTTCTGAACCCTTTTCACTTCTACAGTATCCTTTATCAGATTAAATGCCAGTAGTCAAAGTGCATTTGCTGTATAACGGCATTATGATATTGCCAGTTTTGTTTTCAATCCCGTTCCATGGTATTCAGCTTTTTACAGCTGCGGCACGCAGGACCAAAATCTTAATAGCGCTTCCTGATCCTGGTCAGTCACTGCCACTTCGTACCCCATGGGTGTATATGTGATATTAGGATTTTTTGCCCCAATGGGCATCACTTTCTACTTGTTTACTTTTAATTACATTTGCTATTATACTGCCCATTCACCCAGTTTGGAGAGCTCCTTTTTCTAGGGGATTTAAACCTGCTCTGCAACCTTCTTATCCCAGGCCTGTCCAGAAACATTTCCCTAAAAATATTTGCCTAAAAAAAAATCAATACACACATTGACATTACACAGCTGTGTCTGACTAGCTGGCCCTGCACTCAGAGCTGGTAGCAACTAATTTGCCTGATATCCCTGATTCCCTGAGACCAGCAGGTATAAGGCAGTTTATAAAATCAATAAATAATAATAATAAATGATGATATCTGGTGTTTTTTATCCAGTTAACATGGTGCTTCAATGGATGCTTTGATTATTATTTTTGAAGGGATGGGAGGAGCAATGTAATAAAACCCGGATTTCTAATGCTCTGATGCTTATTGGGGCGAAGAGGCAGTACTGTAACTGCAATGGGAAGACCCATTTTCCTGACACACTCCAGGGGAGTAGCTATTTTGGGGGTTCTGAAATTACTTTCTCTCCTCACAGGGGAAGAGCTAACTAAAATAGAAGATGAAGATGAACAGGGTTGGTGCAAAGGCCGCTTGGACAATGGACAAGTTGGACTCTATCCCGCAAACTATGTCGAGGCAATCCAGTGACAAAGAATTGTATAGAAGTGCTGTAGTAATTGTCAGTCGGTATGCAGTTGGTGGCCCGCCATGAAGAGAACTGAAATGTGTTCAAATTGTATATATTTCCTTTAATGCAAATGAATTATGGATTGAAATATGTGTTCCCAGGGGACAAGATAACAATTCAGACCGAAACTGGGAAAGGTTGGCAGCTTATGCACAGCACAAAATAACCAGGCCAGAGTGGAAATTTAGTTGGCAAGAAAATGATATTCTTAGAACTTATTGCCAATTTGCTGTTTTATCATGCCTTATGTATATTTTGAAATTTGCTGCTGCCTCAGTCCCAGTTTTCTGGGTGGTAGCTTGCATTGATTCTTGCTTAAATCACTTCTTTTAAGTGACCTATAATAATTTGCAATAAATTGCAACTTGTTTTTATAATTGCAATTTTTTATCTGTTCTTAGCAATATTTGAAAGATGCATTTTTTTAATTTAAAGACTATGTAGCCTGCCATCTTTTCATGCCTGGTTCATCTTCTACTACTTAAGTTATGAATTTGATTATTCCTCAGTTTACATTGTACTGTTAACTTTTCCATGTTATTAGCATGCCTTAATGGTGTAAAATGCCAAATTGGGTCTGTTACATAACATTGTAGCATACTGTCTGCAAATGTTAGTTTGGGTTTCTGGAATGCCAATGATGCATTTTGGCACCAGAAACATGAATTTTCCAAATTACGACTTCCAAGTGGATTTCTAAAAGTATAATATTTAAACCTATTTCCATCATATTCTTGCTGAGAAATTTACATTTTGCAAGATGTTAATGATTTTGTGCAATTTGGAAACGTCTACGAAGATTATTTTTTCAAGCAAAAGACTGTAAAATAGATTAATGCTTTTTTTTATTGAGATGCTCTTTAAGTTGTGCATATGTGTATATATAATTTGATATTCAAATGTTTAAAGAGCATATCCTAATTAGCCAGCCTATTGTCTATGCATTAGATTTAAGGTGGAGTCCAGCACTAGTAAATGTGAGTTTGCTATCCATGTCAGTGGGACGTTGCATCTTTAGAGCAAGCCATTTAAATTATAACATATTTAAATTGTGCTTTGACAGTGCATACTCATTTAAACATAAAGTAGATCAGCTGCTCAACCCAGTGCACTGTGGATGTAGTAGCTGGGATATAGGATATAGGAGCCCAGTTTTGACCCTCTTCCATATGGAGTGATTTCAGGAGGAAGAGATCTGCATGCACACATAATACGTCCCTGTCCACCCCAATCTCACTTTCCTTGATGGAGGTGGAGGAGTGAGGGCTGCATGGGGAGTTGCAAGGTACGCACAAGATTCCCACTCCTTGTAAAGGCCTCGGGGGGGCGGGGCGGGAGAAGACCAGTCTTCCTCTATGCGTTCCTGGGATCCTTCTGTGGGCCTTGCATCCACAGTACACTGGAGTGAGGCCTAAGTATTATGTGACTTTGATTTTCAAATAAGATGAACATAGTAGTTACATCCTAATATTAATATTTGTAGGTAGAATCGTGGCTCCAAATATAAACTCGCAGTAGCCCCACTGTGGATTATTGTAGCAGAACACTGTAAAATCTACTTGTTTGAAATTGCAAATCAACTGTAAAAGCGTGAAATTGTATACATTTGTAGGAGATCAAATAGCTGGATTGTGAACATGTTGGAACAAGTTGCTTTATAGAAAATCTAAATCTTATCCGATAAGTAGAAATGCTATTTTAGGGAACTACACTGTAATTGAAATAACTTTTTGGCAATTAAAATGCTGTAAGTGCTCCTGGTATTACATTTGCTTTTGGAGATCAATATATTTATTAACATATGAAGTTCAATTGTATAAGGTTCAGTATTGGATCGCTGCCAACATAATATTCCAGCATAATTGTTCATGAACAGTAGATTTGCCACAAGTGGTGAAAAATAAGTCTGGAGTATTTTTCTGTATAGCACACTATTTTAAAAATAATAAAATCTTAAATATGCTGAACACAAATTTACTGTGAAAGTACTTCTCTCTCTCTCTCTTTACTGAAAGCGCTGTATTTTCTGTTTGTTGCACTTTGAGATAAATAGTCAAAAATTACTGTTTGGTATATGCATAATGATAAGTAGAAGTACTATTTGTCCCAGCAATGCACACATGATTTTGGCTAACATGAGACTGAAGAAAGTTACAGTCCTGTCCTCCAGCTATCAAAGTATGCCTACAAAAGGAGTCAAATATACTTTGGAAGAAATGCTCAAAATACAGAATAGGCAAAATGCAGACCCTTTACACTAGGCAAGCGTAGAACAAAATGTATTTATGTTCAGGCATGAATATATTGAGATAAAACAAATGCTGAATAAAGGAATGCTGAACAACAACAAATCAGTTCCCCTAAAAGGTTTGGTTTTGGACAGGGGTGAAAATAAGTCAAGGTGCTATTACAGAGAAGGCCCTGTCCCAGTCACCAATCAGGGAGCCTGCCTTAACAGTGGGACCACAATATCCTGCTGATCTCCTTTACAACCATATAAACCAGCAGAGCAGATACTAGTGTGACTGTCAGTTTTGTTATTTCCCAGGTGCTTCAGGTGGATTCTGCCTCTTCTCAAAATGAAACAAAACCAGGCAAGTACATTTCTATGCATATGTTAACCCAGCACTTTATTTTTCAAAACATGTGAACTCTTTAAGCAATAGCAAAACTGCTTTAGAGATGCAGACTTGGCGCTGCAGTGTGCTGCAGGGATAGCTTAAGTGATGCTCTCTAGATGATGTTGGACTCCAGTGCCCATCATCCCTAACCTTTAGCCATGATGGATGGGGCTGATAGGAGCCCGGTATCTGGAAGGCACCATCCCTGCGCTAACCACTTAACTCAGGTCAACTCTTCCCATGTTGAAACTGACCCATGCTAAATAGTTGCAGGAACGGTTTTCAAAGCTCGACCCATTGTTTTCTCCTGCTCCAGGGGGTAGAACCCAAACCAATGGCTTCAAGTTACAAGAACAGAGGTTCAGACTAAACATCTGACAGAACTGACGGTAAGAGCTCTTTGAGAGTGGAACAGACTCCCTCGGAAAGTGATGGACTCTCCTTTCATGGATTTTTTAAGCAGGGGTGGGGTGGCCATCTACCATGAATGTTGAGATTCCTGTATTGCAGGCGGTTGGACTAGATGACCCTCGGTCCCTTCCAACCATACAATTCTGGCTTTTATTTAATATTCACAGTGCACTTACAAACCACACTTAGGACTCGAAATGTTGTGTCCTCATCCTATCTATCCAATTAACTATCAAGAGGGAGGGTAGTGGTTTTGTAACTCCTGCTGATGCTCAGACACAGCAGGAAATAGCACAGCATGCCAGAAGTATCTCAATGCTACCTCAAGTAGCTGCTGTTTAGAATCCCTGTGGAGCTGGTGTTGCAATCGCATTGCACTTTGATACAGACACGCTGATCATCAGCACGTGGACTCCAAAGGTTGACTCCAACAGCAGCAGATACAACAAGCATAATAAGTTGTGGAGCTGAATAATTTTTTGCTGGCCCAACCCCAAAAGTGGATTTGATAGCTTCTAAAAAGAACCTATTTCCAAGTGCTTCTTAAGTGAGCCAATTCTTTATGCCCAATAGTTTTAATGAATTGATGGCCCATTTGATAAGTAAGTCTACTGCGGGGGGGAAAACAAAGTTGACTTTTAAATTTTTCAGGTACTGTAGAGAGACTTTTTTGGTGGGACAGGCCTCCATCCCTTGCCCAGTCAGTGCCAGATTACCAAATAGGTAGCAGCTTTTCAGGAGCCCTGCAACTATGGGTCAAAATAATACTGATCTAGACAGAAAATTACAATTGAGCTTTAAAATCCAAAAATACATTAAGAGTTAATTTGTGAGGGGCCCCCTGAGATTTCGGCTGCCTAGGGGCCTCCACAGAGTTTGGCCCTGTGCCCAGCCAGCTTCTTTTTAGTTGCAGGTCATATCACATCCTGCTGCTTCTCTAATTGGAAAGGAGAAACGAAGCCCTACATGAAACCCGTTAGATTTCTTCCCCCTTCCTCCCAAGCCTGCGCTTGTTTTTCATGTAGGTAAACAACATAACAAGGGACGCAGGTGGCGCTGTGGGTTAAACCACAGATCCTAGGACTTGCCGATCAGAAGGTTGGCGGTTTGAATCCCCACGACAGGGTGAGCTCCCATTGCTCGGTCCCTGCTCCTGCCAACCTAGCAGTTCAAAAGCACATCAAAGTGCAAGTAGATAAATAGGTACCACTCCGGCGGGAAGGTAAACGGCGTTTCCGTGCGCTGCTCTGGTTCGCCAGAAGCGTCGGCCAATAAAGTGAAATGAGCGCCGCAACGCCAGAGTTGACCACGACTGGACTTAATGGTCAGGGGTCCCTTCACCTTTAAACAACATAACAAAAAAGCCCTCCAGCAACCCCCTTCCTCTTAATTTCTAAGGACTTGAGGAGGGGGCTGAAATCTTGAACGTTTTAGTGCATGTACCTTGAGGCAAACCTTTAACCGGTTATTTCTCCGCTCCCCGACCCTCCAAAAAAGAGCACCTTTATTTTCTTGGATCAGGAAACTATTTAAACAAGGGACTTTGTATTGGGTATAAACTTTTTGCATCTCCTTTGAGGATCATCAACGAAATGTGAGAAAAGGAAACGGGCATTGGTCCTTTTCCCGTTCACTTGTCGAGCGTTCACACGTCTATCCGTGTCGCCTTTATTCGCGTGTCTCCTTTATCTCCTTTCCCCCCTCCCCCGCGCATTAACCCTCTCCGCGCCCCGCCGCCCTGGGCCTCGGCTCGAGGGGAAAGGAACCCCGCCCTCCCGGTCGCCTAGGCAACGCCAAAGCGCCCAACCGGCTGGCGCGAAGGAAGCCCCGCCCCGCTTCCCGGCCTCCCCCAATCCGCGCCCAACAAATCAGCCGTCCCCCGCGACGCTCCTCCGCGGAGCGTGCGTGGCGCGACGTGGGCCTGCGCGCGGCGCCGCGTGGAGGCCCCGCCCCTTTGGCCTCCCTCCTCCCTCCGTGGCGCTGCTTGAGGCGGCGCTTCTTGAGGCGGCTGGGTCGTCGCCTCCGGGTCTGCCGAGGGGAAGGATGTGCGAGCCCAGCAAGCAGGACATCGGCGCCGTTTTCCGGAGGCTCCGCGCCGTCCCCACCAACAAGGTCAGCAAGCGGGGCCAGGGCGGCGGCCCCAAGGAGGGAGGCGGGCTTCTTCTTCTCTCCGCTGACACGTCGCGCCTCCGGGAGCTTCGTGCTTCCCGTGTGGCTGTTTACTTTTGCCTGCCGCCCTCACTGGGGCCGCCGCTTCGCAAAAGCACGGCGCGCGCGAGGAGAACAAGATCCCACGGAGATCGTGATCCTCGTCGTGATTTCGCACCTTCTGTGGCCATCGCCCCCTCCCCCCCCCCCCGCTTTCCGATCTCCCTCCCCGAAATCGCATTATCCGCCGGGCGCTTTGCGCTCGCGATCCTAACACCCCGCCGAGGTACGTAGGGAGCAAGCTCCGTCCGATTAGGCGGGGCTTGCTTTCGCGTAGACGTGGCCAGATTCGTTTCTCTTTTATTTTTTTGCATTTGTTTATTTATTGCCTTGATCTTCCAAAGAGCTCAAAAGTGGTGCACATGGTCCTCCCGCTCCCCCCATTTCATCGTCACAACAACCCTGTGAGGTCGGTCAGGCTAAGAGAGGGAGACTTGGCCCAAGATCAGATCACCCAGTGAGCTTCATGGATGATGTGGGGATCGGAACCCAGGTCTCCCTCTGCAAAGGACTTCAATTCTAGGGACTTGAGGAAGGGGCTGAAACCTTGTAAGGGTTTTGCTGCATTTTTTTGCAAACAGACTTTCAGCTTTCTTTTTTCTGCTGCCCAAGGCCAAACGCAAAAGAAAAAAGGGCACATTGATTTACTTGGATCAAGTATAGGGAAACTGGGAAACGTAGGGAAAGCTATGTAGGTAGATGTGTCCTTCCTGATTTATATCCATCCATGTATTGTGGAGCTGACGTTGTGATTCATCCCTTGCCTTTTGTAGGGTGAAGTGCATCTGCTTCCTGCCCAGAACTCCTCACTCCTTTTTCTTTGCTGGAATTCATGGTCAAGGTTCTGTCTGCCTTGTCACTGTAGGCAATATTCCTTTAAAGCACAGCATGGAAGGGAGCGAAAACTGATGAGGTGGCTTAGGAACTAGGGCTGTAGTTGATTTTGTCTTTTGCATTTTCTTCTTGGTGAAGAGTGAGTCAGTGACCTTTCAGAATAGGAGGAGCACTGTAATGTGGGCTTTTCCCACAGGCAGTTATTTCTGCGTATTTTCTTCATGTAATTTTGTTTGCTCGTTCCTGCACACTCTGACATGACTGTATAATTTTATAATGAACGGTTACGGTGCCCAAAGTCAGGTTACTTTATCTTCTGTTCTGATGGTTTGTGGAAATATGAGTAAAACAGCATGTTCATTTCAAGCAGTGATTCCGAACTTATTCTGAGTTATAACAGATTAAGCTATGAGGATGATGAAATCATCTTATAAGATGATGAAATAGAAATGCTGCAGGGCAAACCGGTTCAGGCAAATTGGTTGCTGGCAAGTGGGCTAGCTGAAAATAATTACTGCTCTGTTATAGCTCTTTAGTGATATGTAGATATGATCTTCAGGTTCACAAAGTTCAAATGTTGGATTATAAGGCCACTGTTACTTCAGTCAAGTGGTTTTGAGGTAGCTGTGTGTGGACATGATCATAACAAGGAGGATTTGGAATTCAGAGGCTGCCAAATGGATAAAAGTAACATGTTCTTGTGGTACCTTGGTAGGTGCTCTAACGTCTTACGGTTTAAAAACTGGGTTGTATATTGTTCTGGATCATATTAATGTTTGTTAACGGGTCTGTTCACGTGCACATGTTAGGAGGTGTCAGATGGTGACAGTTATCCTAGTGAACGTTTTTTGTTTGTATAAATCAGAGTGGGTATCAATTCTATGTATAGTAATTTGGAGAATGCCTACTGTG